CAGATAACCCAGCTTGTTCTTTCTCCTCCCTGTCCTCTCTCCCATTCTCTCACCAACCAAGGCAAAAGGAGTCCTTATCTTCAACTGTGACCCTTCAAGAAATTATTTTGTGGGTGAGGCCACAAGTTAAAGGATTTCTAAGAACTTCTCCACCTCCACATTCCTGACCGTGGATAAAGCATCTGCCTAAATGGGTGATTGTAAGAGAAACACACTAACATGTCTTGTGAAAAGCTACAGAGGAAAAGAACAACATATGATGTTTCCAAACTTCTTTAAAAAATACATATATATATATATATATATATATATATATATATATATATATATATATAATTGATTTTTTTACAGAGAGGAAGGGAAAGGGATAGAGAGTTAGAAACATCGATGAGAGAGAAACATCGATCAGCTGCCTCCTGCACACCCCCTACTGGGGATGCACCCACAACCAAGGCACATGCCCTTGACTCGAATGGAGCCTGGGACCCTTCAGTCTGCAGACCGATGCTCTATCCACTGAGCCAAACCGGTTTCAGCTGATGTTTCCAAACTTCTGATTTGAGGAAATGGACTTTAATGTCATGAAATAAAAGTAGGCAGTTAAAGCACTTTGTGCCAGGTTCTTGAAATTAAAAGCAGGTTGCCAATTTAAAAATGTGTTTGCTCCCAAGCTCTATGCCAGGCTCCAAAGGAAAACAAAATGTTGGGTGGCTCATTAGTAATGTTCCACACTCTTCTCTGCATAAGGGACAATTCAGCAAAAATGCCAAAGAAATAAAATTATGTCCCCACAGTTGTGCCACCTGCCCTAGTTGAGAGAAGAGAAAGTTGGTTATCTGTTTTGTTCTGCCATTAAAATCTTAGATGTCACTGAAACCGGTTTGGCTCAGTGGATAGAGCATGGGCCTGCGGACTGAAAGGTCCCGGGTTTGATTCCGGTCAAGGGCATGTACCTTGGTTGTGGGCACATCCCCAGTAGGGGGAGGGTGTACAGGAGGCAGCTGATCTATGATTCTCTCTCATCTATGTTTCTGGCTATCTCTCTGTAAAAAATCAAATATATATATATATATATATATATATATATATATATATATCTTAGATGGCAACAAACAACTGGAAATGAAAATTTAAAAAACAATACTAATTCAGAGCAGCATCAAAATATGAACGACTTAAGGATAAATTTAATGAAACATGTGCAAGTTGTGTCCACTGAAAACTTAAAAGACTGCCAAGAAAAAGGAAAGAACATGTGCAAAAAGGGAAACATATACTGTGTTCATGGGTTGGGAGACTCAAAATCATTAAAAAATATCAATTTTCTTCAATTTAATCTATAGATTCAATACAAACCCAGTCCAAACACCGGCAAACTTTTGGGTAGAAATTGACTACCTCATACTAAAAATGATATGAAAATATGAAAGATTTAGATTAGCCAAAATAATTTTGAAAAAAATAAAAGAACATGCTGGAAACTCAGCCTCTCTGATTTGAAGACACTGTAAAGCTACATTAGTCAAGACATATTAGCATAGACATATAAATGGGGCAAAATAGAAAAATCCAGAAATAGACTCACATATATATGGTAGATTGATTTTTGATAAAAGTGCCAAGACAATTCAGTGGTAAAATGTTTTGCCTTTAAAGAGAACATGCTGCCCAACCAGCAGGGCTCAGTGGTTGAGCATCGACCTATGAACCAGGAGGTCACAGTTTTCTTTTTAAAGTATTTGCCAGATGATCATAGCTATTTTATTTTTAAAAAATATATATTTTATTGATTTTTTACAGAGAGTAAGGGAGAGGGATAGAGAGCTAGAAACATTGATCAGCTGCCTGCTGCTCACTCCTCACTAGGTATGTGCCCACAACCAAGATACATACCCTTGACCGGAATCAAACCTGGGAGCCTTGAGTCTGTAGGCTGACGCTCTATCCACTGAGCTAAACTGGCTAGGGTGAGATCACAGTTTTGATTCCCAGTCAGGGCACATGTGACCCAATTGGGGGTTGTGCAAGAGGCAGCTGATCAATGATTCTCTCTCATCATTGATATTTCTATCTCTCTCTCCCCCTCCCTTCCTCTCTGAAATCAATAAAAAAATATATTTTTAAAAAGAACATGCCATTCATGCCAGTATTATTCACAATAGCCCAAAGCTGGAAGCAAACCATGTGCCTTTCCCCCACTTTTGAACACCTTTTGTTTTGAGGATGATCTTTTGGAGTAGTTCTGGCCTTACACAAGAGTCTTTTAGGTAACCCAGATATCATTTGATTCATAGGAAGCTACAATACTAAATGCTGTAAGATACTGAAGAGTGAAGGTCTTTAGGACAGATGAGAGATGAGCCCTCACTCCTCACAGAAAAAGGTGTATCCAGCCGAAACCGGTTTGGCTCAGTGGATAGAGCATCGGCCTGCGGACTGAAAGGTCCCGGGTTCGATTCCGGTCAAGGGCATGTACCTTGGTTGCGGGCATATCCCCAGTAGGGGGTGTGCAAGAGGCAGCTGATCGATGATTCTCTCTCATCAATGTTTCTAACTCTCTATCCTTCTCTCTTCCTCTCTGTAAAAAATCAATAAAATATATTTAAAAAAAGGTGTATCCAGGTATAAATGACCACATATTGTTCAACCTGATATTAATGTCCAGGGTAGCCATCCTGCAGATGACTAACAGGTAAGGCAATTACTTGTCTACATCCCTTGCTCTTGACATTGGCTGCACATTGGAACCCCATCCTAAGAAATTATGATTTAATAGTTGCGGGTGGGGAAAAGTGGGCACTTAAACAAATTACTCATGTGATTCTAATTTGCAGCCAATATTGAGAACTACAGCCCTAAACTTTATTGCCATATGTACATTAAGAAACCTTCATGCTGCCATTCTTGGCTATAATGCACTATTGACTGACTATATGATTAGTGTTCTAACTCATAATTCTTTTTTAAAAATATATATTTTATTGATTTTTTTTACAGAGAGAAATGGAGAGGGACAGAGAGTTATTAATAGAAACATCAATGAGAGAGAAGCATCCATCAGCTGCCTCCTGCACACCCCTTACTGGGGATGTGCCCGCAACCAAGGTACATGCCCTTGACCGGAATCCAACCTGGGACCTTTCATTCTGCAGGCCGATGCTCTATCCACTGAGCCAAACAGGTTAGGTCATATATATATATTTTTTAATGACAGACTTTTCTTTTAAATAGAGGTGTTTTATTTTTGTTGTTAATCCTCACTCGAGGATATTTTTCCACTGATATTTTTTAGAGAAAGTGGAAAGGAGGAAGAGAGACAGAGAGTGAGAGGAAGAAACATCGATGTGAGAGAGGCTCACATCCATTGGTTGCCCTTATCAGAGGATCGATTATGGGGCCTGCAACCAAGGTATATGCCCTTGACTGGAATTGAACCCGGGACCCTTTGGTCTGCGAGCCGATGCTCTATCCATTAAGCCAAACTGCCTAGGCCCTAAGCCTCATAATTCTTTAACTTTGCTTCAATACCTTTAATAATTCACAGGTGGATTCTGGTTTTCTATTTCCAAGTGTGACTTTGCATTGCTGGTTTAGAAGGTCCCAAAGTGTTAGTATAGAGCTGTTGGTCTTTGGGACAGGTTTTATGCACGATAAACTGCATATTTACATTATGATCCAGGGCTCAGTCATCACAAAAGATTTGCCCATTGGTCAATAATTCATATTGAATTACTTGAGGGCAAAGATCTAACAGTGCTCTCTAGGGGGACAGTGCCAAGAACATTATGCACTGATGAGTTTGCGAAGAGGCCTTGATGGCTAAAATTACTTCCACATAAAATGGTTAATTCTCATTCTAAGTTCTTGGCTTAATTAGTGTTCTCTTGTTAAGATATACATGCAGATGTTTCTGTCCTTATTGTTTGTTAAACAATAAAGGAGATACATACATTGCACACACAAGAATCTAAAGCCCTTTTTGTTTTTCATAGCATTGACATTCTGCTGGAGTCCAGGCCAGATGTCTTTTGCCCTATGCTTTGAATAGATCGGATGATTTCTTCATGATTCTATTCAGGTTAAACATTGTTTTGCAAGAAGACTACTGTTATATAGGCGATGCTCCTTATATAGGTGATGCTCCTTTTTCCAAGTGCATCACATTAGGAGGCATATGATTATTTCTTTTAAATATATTTTATTGATTTTTTACAGAGAGGAAGAGAGGGGGCTAGAGAGCTAGAAACATCGATGAGAGAGAGTCATCTATCAGCTGCCTCTTGCACACCTCCCACTGGGGATGTGCCCGCAACCAAGGTACATGCCCTTGACCAGAATCGAACCCGGGACTTTTCAGTCCGCAGGCCGAGCTCTATCCACTGAGCCAAATCGGCATGATTATTTCTTATTGGTGATGCTACTTTTGGTCGTTTGGCTAAGAGACTGCACATATCTGTACGTGGCTATATGTGTATGTGTTGTGTGTGTGTCACAGCGACTGTGTTCACACTCTGAGAAGCTAAGTATCAGGCCAGACTCTGAGTCCGCAGCAGGAGGCAGTCGCTTTCCCAGGCTCCTGGGAAACAGGCCCAGCCACGCCCATCGTACTGCCCGCCCGTGTTTCTTTTCCGCGAAAATCACCTCTCAGAACCACAAAGCCCCTGCTCCAACGCGCCCGTATTTTTTCCCATCCGGATGGGTGCGCCTGCGCACTGCGTCTCAGGCGGCTCTTTTCCTGCGCCCGACCGCACTTTTTTGCAGCTCTCCTCCCCTCAGGCTCCGCGGGAGCGGTTTCCCCCCTTGGGGGTCAACCGCGGGTCTCCCTCCGCGCGCTCGCGGGAAGACCGGGGGCGGGGCCTGGCGCGGCGCGGTGCGTCAGGGGCCTTCCGGGCGGAAGTCCGCGGCCTTCCGAGCCGCTGATTGGCTTGCAGGCTGGCGCCCGTCTCTGCCCTCCTTCCAGTTTCAGGCCGGTTGGCGCGGAATCCAGAGACTCCCGGACCATGGCGCCCGTGCATGGCGACGACTGTGAGTTGGGGCCACGCGGGGTCCCGGGTTGGGAGCGCGGGGACCGTGGCGTGATTGCGGGTGGTGGAGGCTAGAGGGTGGGTTTCTTTGAATTTTTCCCGAAGGAGGCGCGCGCCCCGGTAGTCAGGCGGGTCTGTTGGGGCGCGGGGCGCGGACCTTGGTCGCCCGAGGCTGGGACTTGGCTGGTGTAGGACGGGGCTCGCCTGCTGGGCCCTTTGCTCCTGGCTGCCCCCGCCTGCGGGGCTTTTTGTTTGGGAGGCGGCGTCCCCTCGCACTAGCCTGCCTTTCTTTTTGTTTTGTTTTGTGTTTTTTTCTTTTGGTGAGTCGTGTGCTGCAAGTATTTCACTACTGCCATCCCAACTGTGCACTTGGGGGCTACGATGTATGTTATCCCCTTAAGAGAAACTCCCAGGGAATTGTCATACTTTGTAAAGAAAACTTTTAAGTGCTGTCGCCAGAACATATAGGTGCATTTTGTCTTTCTAGCTGCTGGGTTTCTACTTTATGCATTCACAGTTTTCCTTTCAAATCCTCTGGAAGTTCAAGTATTGCATTGAAATAGTGTTCATGATCTAGTCTTCGCTGATGAAGCTTTAAAAAAAGTATGCGTTCTGCAGCATTTCAGATAGCCTGGACCACTCGGTTTTCAGTGGTAATCTCTTATTTCAAAAAATAGACTACAGAAATGCAAATGGGTTCGTCTGATTTCTGATTTTTTGAGCAGTGTTCAACTACAGTGTGACTTACGTGAACTTCTAACTGACAATCAGACGCTTCCCTTAGCTGAGGCGCCACGCGTCTCCTGTCACTCAAACGCGTCACTATTAATGAGAACTTGCTTTCAAATCAACTTCCTTTGCATTCACCTCGATGCGAATCAGATTTCCATGTATTCTTCTAGCCTTTTGTCTTTTAGGGCAATTTCTTTCAGGCAGTTGACTAGCCTGCATTGCAAATGGGATGTAGGACGTGAGCACATGCACAGTCTCTGCAGCCCTACATGAGTGATTTGCCACGATGCTGTTTCTTCACCCTAAAAACTCTGCAGCATCTGTGCACATCAAGAAATCACTCTCCGGAGGGCACTGTGCAATCTTGAGACCCCTCTTAAGTCGTGGTGTTGATTAAGTGTTGCTGGAGACTTGTGACTTGGAATTTTTCCTCTAGAGCAGACTGAAAGATTATCTGAAAGGCCATTATTTGTCTGCTATTGAGGAGGACGGGGGTACTTCAGATGGTAATTTTGAACCACGCATTACATTTTTGTAACTGGATCTTTTTTGTTTTTTAACGCTTATTCTTTTTTGCTAACTTACTATGTGAAGCATTGGAGACATTCCAGAACTGGAAATCTAGGCCTTTTCCCCTCAAGTATTAGGTGGGGCACCTTGACAATGGCAGTGAAAAGTGAAAGGTCTATAACTAGCTTTATATATGAGAAAGGATCAGGGAGAATCGAATGATTAAATACAGCATGGGCAGTGAGTGGTTCATTTTTTTCATTCAGCAAATATGTATTATGTACCTACGATGCAAAGGCATTCTGCCAGGCTTTAATGTTAACAGTGGCAGGTAAGCTGGACATGCTTTTTGTTTTCATGGAGTTGAGATTGTAAGTGCCTAATTTTAAGAAATATATGTTTATTTCAGAGAGGAAGGGAGAGGAAGGGATAGGAACATCAGTGATGAGAGAGAATCATTGATTGGCTGCCTCCTGAACGCCCCCTACTGGGGATCGAGCTTACAACCCGGGCATGAGCCCTTGACCGGAATTGAACTGGGCCCCTTCAGTTCCGACGTTCTGTCCACTGAACCAAACGGGCTAGGCCTAAGCGCCTAATTTTATGCAGTGCTATATTGAAGCTTCCCTGAGAACACTGCTTTGTTATATTTTTGTTTTCTAGACACTAGACCAGCGTCTCCCAAAGTGTGGTACGCATACCCCCAGGGGTACGGGAAGAGTTTGGTGGGGATATGCACTGCACCGTGCTTAGCTGCGCCTAATTCTATGTTCTCATGAGTACGAGGGGTACTCAGCGTTATGAAAATTATAGAAGGGGTACACATATGTCAAAAGTTTGGGAAACATGCACTAGACCATGTTACTGCTAAGCAGTGTGTTTCTGTGTGTGTCTACCCTGCATCTATACACACATGCAATGAGCTTCTCTTACATTGCTGAGTACAAAGCCAAGTATCTTCACTTAATCTGCAACAACTTTATGACAGATATGATTATCCCCATTTCAGAGATGAGCACCCTGAGGCTCTGCATTAGTCTGAGTCCTTAGGTGTAAGCTATAAAAATCAACTCTAGCTATTTTTTTTTTTTTTTTTACAATTTTGTAATTTCACTGCCACTGAAAAATAAAAAATAATAAAAATGAAAACAAAAAAGAAAACACAATAAGCCATTGCCAGTTATTTCCCATTTTTGAAGTCTAGCGAATTGAAACAGGAAAGGATTTATTCGAAGGATATCATGTTGCTCACAGAAACTCCAGGAGGACTGGAGGGTCAGCCTGGGGGTTGATTAGCCAAGAATAGTGATTAAAATCGTATCACAAAACTGTTGCAGTGAGGATGTCGTTGCCAACCATGGCCAAGTACTTGAGGTTATAGCTTGTTATAGCTCTAGTTAACATTGCTGGCACTGTTATTTAATCCTCCTGCAGCTGTTGCTACTTATAGAATCTTCCCTTAGCCCATCCCCTTTCCTTTTGACACTGGCTTCTGATTTAAAGTCTGAGCAGGTGTTTCTAATTGAGAAAGTCTATTTTATATGCCCATGCCCTAGCCGCAGGGGTGTCTGGGAAAGAGCATCTGTCTTTTCAGTAGTAGGACCTGGCCTCTGTGTCCCATCAAAACTTTTAGGGAGCCTGACCAGCGCGGCTCAGTGGTTGAGTGTTGACCTATGAACCAGGAGGTCATGGTTCGATTCCCAGTCAGGGCACATGCCCGAATTTCGGGCTCTGTTCCCAGTGTGGGAGTGTAGGAGGCAGCCGATCCATGATTCTCTTTCATAATGGATGTTTGTCTCTCTGTCTCTCTCTCCTTCTCCCTTCCTCTCTGAAATCAATAAAAATATATTTTAGAAAAGTCTTATAATTTCACAAGCAGGTTCATATGCTTGGCAGCTTAAACAGCTGTAAGACAGCTGGCCACTGCAGCTTAGCAAGTTCAAGTGTGATCTCATGTTGTCCAGTAAGGGACAGAGCTGGGCTGTGCTGCTTCTCCCTGAGCTAGTCTCCCACTTACTCTACACTCTCACGTCTTACCTGCCACACTGACTTCCGGTTTCTGAACACACCTTTCATTTGCATCCTTCTGTAATTTGGCTCTTGCCTTTTCCTGTGCTGGTGCCACTTTTTACCATGTACTCTGATGGTAAAGCGTTACTCCTCTTGCTGGGTCTGTGTTGGGAACTTCCTGTGAAGCCTTCCCTGATTTCTGAGCCAAATGAACGGTTCTCTTTTTCACATTTCCTCAGGACCATGCTCTTACCTCTTTTCTGACACGCTGTTTATATGATGGTGGGAGTCTCAGGTCCTTTTGCTTTACTTGACTGTGACCACCTTGAGGACAAGCAACTCTGTTAAGGTATCCAGACATCCTGCTTTTGATGGGACAGTCCTGATTCTTAACAATTTGTCCCATGGCGTCTTTAAAAAGTCCCGATTTTTTGAAAGAAAAAATCGGGACTTTTAAATTTTTATTATTATTATTAGCATATTAAGCTTTTATTTATTTTATTTTTTTGCCTAGTGGCAACTGTTTGTTTATTATTTATTTTTTAATAAATCTTTATTGTTCATATAATTACAAATGTCCCTCATTTCCCCCCCCTCCATTGCTCCCCTCCACCAGGTTCCCACCCCACCCTCTGCCCTTTCCCCACCCCCCATTGTCCTCATCCATAGGTGCACAGTTTATGTTCAGTCTCTTCCCGCATCCTCACTCCCCTTTTCCCCAAGAATCATCAGTTCATTCCCCTTCCATGCCTCTGATTCTATTATATTCACCGTGGGGACTTTTTTAAAACGCCATGGGACAAATTGTTAAAAATCGGGACGTCTGGTCACCTTAAACTCTGTTATATTTGTTATTGCACCCCTGTGGAGTGAGTCCGTTTGAAGACTATAGATTTTGTTATTTTAATCAAGAGGAGTCAAGGAATCCTAAAGGCAACACATTGAGGCCTACTTTTCACTCCTAGTGGTCATGTTCAGTATTCTCTGATACCATTTCATCTAGGCTTGCTCATTTTTTTAAATCGTTTGAGTGACACCCAGGATTTCGTGGCTGTCATCACTAAGTACCTGCATTCCTTAATTTTTACTTAATGCTTCTCTAAAACGGATTTAAAAGTCAAATGTGAAAGTCAAACAATAGACTGAGATGTTATAGAGATTACAATTCCAGGAAGCTAGAAGAAATAAGATCTCTAATTATGCTTCACTTTTGAGATGCAGTTTTTAGTAGTTTATTGCCAGCATTTGGTACATGTTCTTTAAATTGCATCTTTTATTTCAGTCAAACACTTAGTCAAACCACTTAATGTTGTTAAGAATTTTGCAGTGGGGTTAGAGCTATTAGGATGCCTCTCATCAATACTTTTCCTTTTCTGTGCTTGCTTCTTTTTATAAAACAATTAGCACCAAATACAATAAAATACTCAAATTTACAGGCATAGATGGCAGTCATGCTGAGCCTAAACTTACAGCACTGTCTTACTTGACTTGGTTATTCATTAGCTGGTATATGCAAGTCTTAATTATGTGGATGAAATCTGTTCAGTATGTGTGTGAGGTGGTCAGAGTATAATGACCAAAAGCATGAATAATTCAAAAGTTGAATGAATGAACACTGAAGCCCTCTGGTATTTCAGTAATTTTTGACAAAACATTTTAACCTTTGTAATTGTTCATCATCATCCTATAATGCCCTAACTCAGTGGTCCGCAAACTGCTCCACAACAAGTGGTCCACATGTGGCTCTCGAGCCGCGGTTTGCCACTCTGTTGACTAATGAGTTTGCCAACCACTGCCCTAACCAATTAAGTGAGGCCTGGAAATCAGTGAAGAAATCAAGAATATTTTCAGTCATCTTTGTTTCATTCTTCCAACCCCAATTTACCCCTCCTTTGAAATTCCAGATACTTGGGCTGAACCTGTTAGGGCATGCATGACTTCTAAAGATTGTTTTAGAGTTGGTTGCTATTTATCTCCCATTTTAGATCTTAAGTTCTCTGAGTATGGGGACCATATCTCACAGAGTACCTAGTACTTTGCAAAGAGCAGGTGCTCCTTAAGTCATGTCAAATGTTGATTAATGGAATACAACTTTTATAACTCTCCTAGGCTCCTCATTTGTAATGGAAAGGTTATGGACTAGCTCAGTGGTCAGCAAACTCATTAGTCAACAGAGCAGCAAACCGAGGCTTGCGAGCCGCAGTGTGCCAACCACTGGACTAGCTGGTCTCTCTTCTCTAGTGTCTATAAGAGATCAATTGAATTTGATTTTTTTTCTTTTTGGAGGAAAAAAAAATAACAGTTGCTTTAGTTGTTTCAACTGTGTCGCAGAGAAAAATCTCTGAAGAGTCACAGGAGCTACAGGCTCGGCCATGAACTTGGTGAATTACGTAAAACCTTGATATAATGGACTAATTTGGGGGAAGGGGGTGTCCATTAAAGCTGAAAGTCTGTTATATAATCAAGTAGGTTTTCCAAATGTGTATGTTAAAACATTGACAAATTAGCTTACCTGTTGTTACTTATGTAGACACGTTTGTAATTAAAATTAAGTAGGTATGAAAAATCTAATTTCACAGACAGGTTTGCAATATGGATTACTGTAATTTTAAATTTATACTGAACAGGCTTAGTAAACGTGTGCATTCACCAGTCACTGCGAGTAAACATTTGCCAGTTCTGTTGTCTCATAGCGTGACTTTCTGTAAAACTGCTACAGAAAGTCACGCTATGAGACAACAGAACCAGTTACCTTGGGAGACGTGGTGTGATCATGTGCTAATCATTTGCAGAACATTATTTACAAGCGGTGGCTCTTGGATTTAAATATGTAGACTATAATTGTAGATATGTATTTATTTATGTCGGTGAAATTACTAGTGTTTTTTCCAACATGTGGCCTGTTTGCTAAAATTTGTTAGAAATAACTGAATTAATAACAAGAAAATAAACTGCTAATTTAATTATAAGCAAATTGTAGTTAAAAGCATTTTAGTATTAACAAGGTGTTAATTTTTACATATGACATACGGACCAGAAATTTTGTGCACTAAATCCAAAGTCCGTTAAATCGAGGTCCACAAAAATCAATGGTTTACTGTGTTTACATCATAAAAAGTATTCATTTGTATAATATTAGAATTATGTGTTAGTATTGGCTGGAAGTTAGGTTCAATTCCTGACCTGAATGCCTCTGCTTTTGAGGCAAGATGGCTGACAATTTTTGTGACATTTCATGTAAATTTGGCTTTTCTTTTTTTCCAGCTGTGTCAGATTCAGGGAGCTTTGTAGCATCTCGATCCCGGCGAGAAAAGAAATCAAAGAAAGGGCGCCAGGAAGCTCTAGAAAGACTGAAAAAGGCTAAAGCTGGTGAGAAGTATAAATATGAAGTAAGTAATCATTTTCCTGTTTGTTTGTTTTTCCTTTGTGCTTCATCCAATTCATAGCCACTTCCTGTAAGGCACTTTACAGATGCTTCCACAATTCTGAAATGAAAGTAGTTATATATTTTCCTTATTAAATACATTGCATCTCTGATAAATCCCATGGCTTTGTTGGGGGTGGGGCGGGGCATAGAGATGCTTTTACTTTACTCTTAAGGTACTGAGCAGTCTAGCTAAGCACTTGGAGAGAATTATTTTTCCTAATTTCATTTGCAAGGGGAGTGGCAGTGGTGACTTGGATCTTATTTCTGCTGTGCCCGGATGTAAGATGTAATGCCATGCCATTTTGGCTGTTTTCCTGTACCCACTGCTTATGACCTGTAGGTGGAAACAGAGTAGCTACCATCTGCACAGCATTGTCTAGCTTCCCCTTCAACATGTTCCCTGAGTATCTTCACTGCCTTGGGGCCAGAAAGTGATTAATTAATACTAGAAAATAACAGCAATTAATACACTTTTTTTGGTTAACACTATTCTAAGTGCTTTTCCAAATATGGTCATATATTTAATTCTTCCAACAACTATATAAAGTTAGATGCTATAGTCAAGAGCATTTTGCAGCTGATAGATCTGAGGTCACAGCGGCAGAGCCTTGATGTGAACTCAGGCTTCACAATGTGCATGTGGAACCATGGCCTATACTGTATTGGACAATTAGGCAAGCAGAAGAAGTTAAGGGAGTCAACCAGACCATAAAGGGCTGCTAAAAGGATTATAGTAAAACAGGAGTAAAGCATTTTTTATTGAATTTATTGGGGTGACATTGGTTTGCAAAACCATACAGGTTTCAAGTATACAACTCAACAAAACATCATCTGTACACTGTGTCATATGCCCACTGCCCCAAGCAAGGTCTCTTTCTATCCTTGTTCCCCCCCCCTTTTTTTTAAATATATTTTTTATTGATTTTTTACAGAGGGGAAGAGAGAGGGATAGAGAGCTAGAAACATCGATGAGAGAGAATCATTGATCAGCGGCCTCTTGCACACCTCCGACTGGGGATGTGCCCGCAACCAAGATACATGCCCTTGACCGGAATCGAACCTGGGACCTTTCAGTCCGCAGGCCGATGCTCTATCCACTGAGCCAAACCGGTTTTGGCACTTGTTCCCCCTCTTTGCCCCATCTCCACCTACCCCCTCCAACCCATTTTCCCCCTGTAGGTACTTCTATAAAGGAGTTCTCTGGGGCATTTCAGATGTTTACACAATGTGCTTGATTTCTCTTCAATCACTGATGTTAATTGCATAGCTCTAAGAGTTCATGCTGAGCAGTAGCAATGATTTTAGAGATAAAGTCAAAATGATTTATTACTCAAAATGATTTTTAAGAAAAGTTTTCTGGTATCTTTTTGAATAAGTGAGTTGATTAAATAAGAGACAGAGTATGCCCCTTAGACTTCAACCAACAAAAATCACCTCCCCCCCCCAAAAAAAAAATTTTGGTCAGTACAGCAATATTAATTAGATGTTAATTATCCTAGTTGTGTTTGAATTGCCAAAAACTTAATTTACTAGGGCAGGTAGTTTCTGTTATCAAATGGTAGAAAGCCAATATTTGCCAGTGATCCCTATAGAATAAACAGGAGGTGAAAACAAAGCTTAGTCCTGAAATTATGGCAGAAATCCAGTCATTCTAACCATTGTACTTGCAAAGCTTGGTGTCCAAGTGTTTTTTCTTAGGGTCTTTGGAGTTAGTTAATTCCTCTACCACTACCCCCACTTGAGAAGGCAGAACTGCTAAGAGAAGGGGCAAATTTTGTTGTTATTAATCCTCACCTGATGATTTTTTCCCCCATTACTTTTCAGAGAGTCGGAGGGAGGGAGAGAGAAGAAGGAAGGAAGGAAGACTGGAAGAGAGAGAGAGAGAGACAGAGACAGATAGAGACATAGACATCAATATGAGAGAGAGAGACCTCAATTGGTTGCCTTCTCTATGAACCCTTACTGGGTCAGGGATTGAACTTAACACCAGGGGCATGCCCTTGACTGGGACTTGAACCCAAGACTCTTAGGTGCGCAAGTTAACTCTCTAACCTTGAGCAACACTGGCTAGGGCGTGAAGGGGGAAATTTTTTTAAAAAAATATATTTTATTGATTTTATACAGAGAGGAAGGGAGAGAGATAGAGAGTTAGAAACAATGATGAGAGAGAGTCATCGATCAGCTGGCTCTTACACCCCCTACTGGGGATATGCCCGCAACCAAGGTACATGCCCTTGACCGGAATCGAACCCGGGTCCCGTCAGTCCCCAAGCCGACGCTCTATCCATTGAGCCAAACTGGTCCCAGTGAAGGGGGGAATTTTTAAAGAGGCATCCAAGTACTTGCTAACCAGCCCACCAAATTCTCATCTGGGAAGGCGATGGCCTGTCACCACGGCAGCTGCAGCAGTGGTGTGCATCTGCTCCATTTGTTGCTTTTAACTGGGCTGAGGTGGTCTGCTCTATTCATGCCAGTGGTTCACGGTGTTTTAGGACTCTGGCAGTAGGACAGCCTGTATAATTGGAGGACTTGCCACTCTCTGGACTTGCCCTCCAAGTTGCTCAGCGTGGTTGTTTTTTAATTGAAGTATAATTGTTATACAATACTGTATTAGTTTCAGGTGTATAGCATGGAGAATCGACTTTATAGACTTTACAAAATGACCACCACAATAAGTCGAATAACTGTTCAACCAAATATAATTCAAAAGGGAAAATCTCCTTTTATCCCCCTCTCAAATTTAGCAAAACACTATATTCTGCAGTTACCCTCGAAATGGTTTTTGAATGATTCCCCTTTTGAATTTTGTCACCTTATAAAGTTGATTTAATATTGTTTATATTCCCCATCTTATACACTATATGCCCATGACTTATTTTTAAAAAAATACATTTTATTGATTTATTACAGAGAGGAAGGGAAAGAGATAGAGAGCCAGAAACATCAATGAGAGAGAAACATCAATCAGCTGCCTCTTGCACAACGCCCCCACTGGGGATGTGCCCGCAGCCAAGGTACATGCCCTTGACCGGAATCGAACCTGGGACCTTTCAATCCGCAGACCGACGCTCTATCCACTGAGCCAAACCGGTTTCGGCTTATTCTTTTTTTTTTTTAATATCAAGTTTGTACCTCTTGATTCACTTCACCCATTTTATCCACCCTCCCCAACTGGCAACCGTCAGTCTGTTCTCTGTATCTATAAGTCTGGTTTTGTTTTTTAGATTCCAAATATAAGTGAAATCATATGATACTTATCTTTCTCAAGCTTATTTCACTTAACAGAATGCCTGCAAAGTCTATCCATGTTGTCCCAACTGACAAGATTTCATCCATTTTCATGTTTGAGTAATATTATATACATAGACCACTCCTTTATCCATTTGTTTATTGATGGACCTTAGATTGCTTCCAGTAGCTCAGTGTTTGTGTCTCTGGAGTCGTAAGACCTGAGAAAGGTGGGGGATCAGTGGTAATTCACACAGAAATCACTCAAAACCCATATGTAGTGTATCTGGAATCTAGTGTGTTTTGCTATCTTTTGGAGGGGGTTAAAGGGTGAGGTTTTTCCTTTCGAATTATATTTGGTTGGATGAATAGTTATTAAAATTATCATCTGTGCGCAGGGCAACCTGAGCTAGTGGAGAGGGAGGTGACATGCCTTACAGGTTTGCTAAGTACAGGAGAAACCAATCTAGAAATTATAAGTGAATAATCCCCAAAGCAGCTAATGAAGAATTGGCTATAATTCAGTTTGTTTTTTATGAAGTAGATGAGTAATTGATGGTGTGACAAGTATATTATGCTAATGGAATAATTTAATATCTTATGTTAACACCCACCTAAAAGGAATACTAAGCTAATTGATGTCTATTTAAGGAAAACCCTGCAGTGGTATTGAATGTCAGAACTCATGATTTAGTTGCAGCTACTCCTTCAGGCTGCCATTCCAGTTTCAATTCTGACAAATTTTTTTTTCCTCATCAGAATTGTTTAACGCTTTCACTCCATTTGAAGCTTTCTCAAACTTGTGTGATGGCAGGTCGAGGACTTCACAAGTGTTTATGAAGAGGTTGATGAAGAACAGTATTCGAAGCTAGTTCAGGCACGCCAGGATGATGACTGGATCGTGGATGATGGTATGTAGGAAGAAATTGCCTGCCAGGCACTGTCTTAGTTGTGCTTCATACTGCCTTGCATGTGTCGATGCAAGGCTCTGTAAAGATCGTACCTTTGGTTTGGACTTTCCTCAAATACATTGTTTGGAAGCAGAACAATAGAACATTTATTTAGGGGCATTTTGGAGAATCCAGGCACATTCCTCAGGATGTAGTATAAATCCTCCAGGAAATGGCTGTGTAGAAACCAGGAGGAGCCATGTACTGTGTGTTATCCCCATGTAAGGCGGGGATAAGAAAACTAGTTCACAGAATGGCTGTGAAGATTGCATTACTATGTGCGTGAGGACTGCCTTGGGCAGTGCAAAGCACCATGCAAAGGGTGGCCCATGTGTTCTTACACCACTTGTGGAAAGTTCAAGGTTTCTGCTGGTGAGGTGTGACTTCTTGGGCGTGAGAATGGTGACCACAGAGAGAAGGTGTAGATTGCACCTGTGACTGTTTGCTAGTATTAGTATGTTTCTGCTTCTGTAATGAGACTCAGCTTTATTGCCAGTTTCCCTCATAGAATAAAGGGCTTTTCTGGGCTTGTGATCTTCATTCTTTTATGTTTTATAGAGGCCCAGTGCACAAAATTCGTGCACTCGGGGGTCGGGGGGGGTTCTTCAACCTGGCCTTCGCCCTCTCACAGTCAAACATCCTTAGCACTGCCACGGAGGGAGGACAGTCTCCCGCCACCACCGCTGCACTTGCCAGCCATGAGCCTGGCTTCTGGCTGAGTGGCGCTCCCCCTGTGGGAGGGCACTGACCACCAGGGGGCAGCTCCTGCGTTGAGTGTCTGGCCCCTGGTGGTCAGTGCGTGACATAGTGACCTGTTGTTCCTCTGTTTGGTCGATTTGCATATTAGCCTTTTATTATATAGGATGCTTCTGGTAGAGTAAAACTACTGTAAAGCACTTTCTGTAGTAGACTTTGATCCTGTGGGCCAAATCATTTCCCCAGCTGCACCTCTAATGTATAGGTGCAGCCATACATCAGAGAGATTGTCTGGTTCCAGACCACACAATAAAGTGAGTATTGCAATAAAGCAAGCTGTAATCTTTTTGCTGGTGAAGGGTCTTGCTTTCAATTCGCAAAGAAATACAACATTGGGGAAGCACAGTAAAGCGAAGCAGAGTAAAATGAAGGATGTCTGTATAGTAGATAGCCTTTGGTTTTAATTCGGAAAACTTGTGTGGGTGCTGTTTTGTCTGACACCTATTTGAACAGGATTCTGCTCACTTAAAAATAGCACAGGACGGGGAGAACATCTGAGTGGGTCTAAAGGTTATGCATTTTGTGATATGGTCCTGGCTAACATATTGGCCAGTTTTAGAAACTTGATCCCAATGTTACATTTTGTTCCTGCAGATGGTGTCGGCTATGTGGAGGATGGCCGAGAGATTTTTGATGATGACCTTGAAGATGATGCCCTTGATTCTCAAGGACCAGGTACCTACATTTTGTTTTCCAGAAGATACCATGTTGATATTTAAAGAACTGTTTAAAATTTGAGATGACTTGGTATTTTGATACTGTTTCCTTTAAGGGAAGCGTACCTATCACAATTGTTTTTAGGTATTCTGCTCATCTGACAGAAACTAAATCAGGCATGTTTACAAAAAAAATGTTCTATTATTGAGAAGAGCATAGTTGTGTAGAAAATTAAATATAAAAAGCAAAAATACAAGAAATGAAAAAGCAAAAATACAAGAAATGAAGTTTTGTGTTTCTATTGGCCAAAGAATTTGGTTTTTCGCTATTTTAGAGTGTTCAGTCTTTTTTTTTTTTTTTTAATCCTCACCTGAGGTTATTTTTCCATTTATTTTTAGAGAGAGTGGAAGGGAGGAGGAGAAGAAGGAGAGAGAGAAACATTGTTGGTTACCTCTCATGAGAGACAGACACACAGAGAGAGAGAGACAGACAGACAGTCAGTCAGACAGAGACACATTGTTGTTGCCTCACACGAGCCCCAGGCCAGGGATTGAGCCTGCAATCGAGGAACGTGCTCTGCACCGGAATTGAACCCGGGACCCTTCAGTCCTGGGGCCGATGCTCTATCCACTGAGCCAAACAGGCTAGGGCAGGAATTTTCAGTCTTGTAGTCATTTTAGACTTGCTGACTTAGATAAGTAATGCCTTTTAATTGGAATTTTAGCTCTTTGATAATAGTGTAGTACTTCAATAAGGTTTAGAACTTAATCTACTTGCTTTGTTTAATTGAAATTTAAAATGATAATGAATGGATGTGTCAGACTGTCTTAGCTGAACAATTACTGGCAAACATTTTTTTTTTTTTTGTAAACATGCCTGATTTAGTTTCTGTCAGATGAGAAGGGAAAATTCTCTTATTTTCTGGTTTAGTACTTTCTCAGCAAACTGGCCCACTCACAGTGGTTTATTTTTAAACAGCTTTATTGAGATATAATTCACATGTTATGCAATTCACCTATTTAAAGTAAACATACATTTAAACACATATGGTGTTTAATGTACTCACAGAGTTGTGTAGCCATCACCAGTTTCCCATTTTCATTAACCTAGGAGGATATCATGCCTGTTACTGTATAGTCCTTGGGCTAATACTGGTTTTTACATTTCTAAAGAATGTTGTTGTTTTTTTTTTTTTAAAAGATGCAAAGAAGAATATAAAACAGCGTAAGAGAGACTTACGTTGCCTCAAAGTCTAAATTCTGTTCTGTCTTGCCCTTTTCAGAAAGTCTGGACCCTGATTTGTAGATTAACATTTTGCAATATGTGTTCACTTTCTCCCTCTTCACTCTACCCACAACCACATACAGAGACTTAATTTTTGGTGAATTTACTGAAAGTAAGTTGTCCATGACAATTCACTGGTACAGTGCTTCAGCAGTTACCTTCTAAGAACATGGACATTTGTCTATTTGCCATTCTCATAATATTATCTAATATATTGTTCATAGTAAGATTTTCCCAGTTAACCTAGTAATGTCTTTCATAGCTATTTCTAAAAATGCAGAGTCCACTTTAGCTTTCATGTCTCTTTATTTTTTTTTAATTATATTTTATTGATTTTTTTACAGAGAGGAAAGGAGAGAGATAGAGAGCTAGAAACGTCGATGAGAGAGAAACATCGACCAGCTGCCTCTTGCACACCCCCTACAGGAGATGTGCCCACAACCAATGTACATGCCCTTTGACCGGAATCAAACCTGGGACCTTTCAGTCCGCAGACCGATGCTCTACCACTGAGCCAAACCGGTTTTGGCCTTTCATATCTCTTTAGTTTTATTTAGTGTAGAACAACACCATCCCTCTTCTCTTCCCATTGGCCTTTTATTTATTTATTTATTTATTTATTTGGTCTTTTATGATATTTTTAAAAGGACCAGGCTGGTGGTTTTATTGAATATTCCACAATCTGGGATTTGCATGATTGCTTCTTTGTGCTTAGAGTTAATGAAATATTTTGGCAGAAATACAGTAGAGATGAAGTTGTGTTCTTACCATCAATCATATCAGGGCACATAGTGTCAGTTTGTCCCTTTATTGGTGACACTAAGTTGATCTCTGGGTAAGGTGATGTTTGTCAGATCTCTTCCTTGTAAAGTTACCTTTCTACCATTGTTGTTAGTATAAAGTGGGGTGATAATATGAGACCATGTGCATATAATACCCTTTTCTCCACCACCTTTTACCCAGTGCTTTCAGCATCTGTTGATGATCCCTTTTCTCCTTTTAATTAGTTTTTTAAAAATTTTTAAAAATATATTTTTATTGATTTCAGAGAGGGACAGAGAGAAAGAAACATCAGTGATGAGAATCATTGATCAGCTGCCTTCTGCATGCCCCACATTAGGGATCGAGCCTGCAACTCGGGCATGTGCCCTGACCAGGAATGGAACCGTGACCTCCAGATTCATAGGTTGACACTCAACCACTGAGCAACACCGGCTGGGCTAGTTTGTTTGTTTATTTATTTATTTTTTATTTTTAATATATTTTATTGATATTTTACAGAGAGGAGGAAGGGAGAGAGATAGAGAGCTAGAAACATCGATGAGAGAGAAACATCGACCAGCTGCCTCTTGCACACCCCTCACCGGGGATGTGCCCGCAATCAATGTACATGCCCTTGACCAGAATCGAACTTGGGACCTTTCAGTCCGCAGACCGACGCTCTACCCCTGAGCCAAACCGGTTTCGGCAGAACTAGAAGATTTGATGTCTGTTTATGTTGTGAGTCCATACTGATACATTAGATTGAAACCCAATCCTACACCATTCTTCATCTTCCCCAGTTCTCTATTTGTATCTACCTTAACGAACAATGAAAACCCTTGTCTTCTAAAATTTCACAAAATAATATTGGAAATTTTAGATTCACTAAATCTATAATACCTCTACCAACAACCTTTCTAAAGTTTGTAATTTCTTTGAAATTTTATTCTTGGCATATAACCTGTTAAGTTTGTATAGTCAAGTCAGAGTGTTGTCTTCAAAAGGTATATGAAGTAATTTTTGTGTGTGTGCTGTATCATCAGTTTACTATATAGGTTTATTTTGTTTGTATTCAAATTTTAGTTTAAAAAAATTCTTTTGTTTTTATTTTATTTTTTTAATATCGTAAAACATTTTTGTGATTTAAAAATTAAAATTGTATCAAGATATTAAGGTAAGATCTTACTCTAATTCCTATGCTTTCTACTTGTCTCTACTCATCTCCACAGGTAACTTTTTAATAGTTTCTGATTATTCTTCCTGTCTTCCCTTTTATAGAAAATAAGAATGTGTATTTTTTTCTCATGTGTAATGTTATTTATTTATTCATTTGTGGCTTAAATTAGACTATCTTCCTGATTTCTGACAAACTATGTAACTCTACACACTGGTACCATATTGGTAGCAGTATGGCTAATTGTGTAATCCTAGTTTTTGTTAGTCTGTGACAAAGAGAATGAAATGAAATGATCCCATGTGCTTTTTCATCTCCTTAAACACTGGTAGGGTCCTCAGCTTGGCCTGTGCCCTCTCGCAATCTGGGAACCCTCGGGGGGTATTGGAGAGCTGGTTTCAGCCCGATCTCCACAGGTCAGGTGGTCAGTGTGTGTCATAACTATCACCTGGTCGGCTGGTCAGCCGGTCGCTTAGACTTTTATGTATATAGATTGCTAAATTCTCCACCATAGGAGTTGTCTAATTTTCCACTCCCATTAACAATGTATGAGTGTCTGCTTAGACCCTCATGGCTTCACCAACAGAGTTTGTTGTCAAGCTTTTGCATTTTTGCCGCTCTAATATGTGAGAAATGACATCTTGTGATTTTCACTTGCATTTCTTTTACACATGTAGTTGGGCATTTTTTTTCATAAAACTTATAGTTGTTTATATAGACAGGCATACCTCAGGTATATTGTGGGTTCTGTTCCAGTCCATTGCAATAAAGTGAATATTGCAATAAAGCAAGGCATAATATTTTTGATGGCGGAGGGTCTTGCCTTTAATTTGTGAATAATGCAACATCTATGAAGCATAGTAAGTCAAGCACAGTAAAATGAGATATGCCTGTATTTTTAGGTGAGCCATATATTTGTGTTTATTACCCACACTAGAGGCCAGTGCTTGAAATTCATGCACGGGTGGTGAGGGGTGGTGTCCCTCAGCCCAGCCTGCACCCTCTCCAATCTGGGACCCGCTGGTAATGTCTGCCTGCAAGGATTGGGCCTAAACCAGACGTCAGACATCCCTCTCATCATCCGGGCTCCTAACTGCTCGCCTTCCTGCCTGCCTGCCAGCCTGATTGCCCACAACTGCCCTCCCCTGCCACAACCCGCTGCCTCTGCCGAGCCCCGCCTCTGTTGTGCGAGTGGCCATCTTGTGACGGCCATCTCGTTAGGGTGTGATGCGTGAGGGCGTGACAACCACCTAAGCTGCTATTAGTATAAATTCCTTTTGGGGTTTGGGACTTTTTTAATATTAGAGAAATTGATCCTTTATCTGTGAAACATTGTAAGAATTTTCTTCTGTTTTGTCTATAAACTTGTTTCTTATTTAACGGAAATGGAGCGGTGAGCTCCAGGTTCATAGGTTGACGCTCAACACTGAGACCATGCCAGCTGGGCTGATTACTTTCTTTACAAATGGATAGCCATCATTACTTATTAAAAAAATCCATATTGTCCCCAGGGATATGAGATGCCACCTTTATTATATGCTGAATTTTCATAAGTAAATGAGTCTTTTTGTACACTCTCTGTTTCTGTTCTATGTATTCCTGTGCCACCACCACACTATATTAAACCTTTGTATGCCATAAGCATCTATAGATTTTTAAACTCAAAATATTGTGGCATGTTGGGATGGTTTCCGTTTTGGACGCGTGGCAGTTATCTAGTTAATTATATTCATTCGAGGTCTTTTTAAAGTAGAGACTTTTCTGGGATGACTCAGAAAGCAAGAGTAAAATTGACACTACGAGAATAGTTCACAGGTGATTTACATTCACATGATCATAAGAGAAAGCATGGCACAGGTTCTTCCTTACTGTGTAAATGTCTCTGTTGGTTTAGTGTTGCTGCAACATATTGCATGTATATAGTTGCTATTCTTCCTAAAATGGAAATTAGGATGCTGCAATATCATAAGTGATAATCCTATTTTTTTTAAAGCTTAGTTGCCTTTTCAGATTCAGTCTAGTGCTAAACAGGCAATCTCATGGGGACTGTGAGGCTAATCCCTGCCTTCAGATGAACTTGATCTTTTGATTTCTATGGGTAAAACAGAACCCTCCCCCTCCACCTTTTAGGAAGATTTTTATTCACACTAACAATAGCAATTAAACAGTTACACTTAGTAACTTATCCAGATATTTTACTGGTATTTTCATCAGTTTTCAAAATAACATTCAGCCCAAGTTTTCCTGATTTCAGCTGTTTTAAAAATTCTTCCATCTCTACCTTGCATAAAGTTTCATGTTTTTGTATTTTGAATTCTTAACAGTTTTCTTCTCAAATTCTCATATACAGAGAGCAGGTGACTAGACTTTTTCATTTTGGTTTTTGGCAGTGCTTGTTTCTAAATAATTTATATTCCAACAGTAAAAGATAGTAAAACTCGCAACAAAGAAAAGAAGAATGTAAAGAAGTCTGTGGTGACAAAACCAAACAATATCAAGTCAATGTTTATTGCCAGTGCCGGGAAGAAAACTGGTGATGTGAGTTTTATGTTTTTCTTCTATTTCGTCTTTCCTTTTGTGAAAATAATTTAGTGTTTGAGTAGACAGACAATAGGTGCTCTCTATGTTTGAGCTCAAATATTTGAGTAATATTTTCCAAATTTCTATCACTAATTTGAATGTAGATTTCTAGGTGAATTTAGGCACCTCAGTGGTTGGAACTTGGAGATAGAAAAGAAAATTGAATAAGAAAGCTGAACTGACTGGAGTGATTTCAGGGATTAGCAGGAGGATCATGGAAATAGAGGATGGAGGCTCTAGGTTGGGGAGTGATGTACACGCAGATGGTTGTTGATATCTGTGACTGGTAGATAAGCACTCAGTGAAGACGGAAGAGGTTCGGTTCTTCCTTTCATAGACATGTGTCCTGGGTGAAAATGGGAAGTGCAGGACTATTTCACTCTACCTTCCTTTCTACCTTCCAGAAAGCTATAGATTTGTCCAAGGATGATCTGCTAGGTGACATTCTACAAGATCTGACCACTGAGGTAAGTGAATCTCTGGGAGTTTTTATTTATTTATTTAAAAAATATATTTTATTGATTTTTTACAGAGAGGAAAAGAGAGGGATAGAGAGTTAGAAACATCGATGAAAGAGAATCATCAGTCAGTTGCGTCTTGCACACCCCCCCCCCCCCCCCCCGCAACCAAGGTACATGCCCTTGACTGGAATTGAACCTGGGACCTTTTAGTCCGCAGGCCGACGCTCTATACTGAGCCAAACCGGTTTCGGCAAATCTCTGGGAGTTTTTAAATATGCAGGGGCCATCAGCTGAATAAATAGTTCAGTAATTGTACAAAAAAGACTATTGCCAGAATTTTAAAAAAATGCAGCGAAAACATCACCACCACCACCACAAAAAACAACCCCAAACCAATGAACAACCCTTCAGATTGCTTTCTTCTCACCATTTTAGGTGAGAGTACTTTCCAGCTGTTACAAGCTATGCAATCCTGTTGATGGAGCTGTGTGTGTGGGGGGGTGTTTGAGGTAGTAAGAATACACACACGAGTCAGCGTTGGGAATGCACTCAGTTGCTGCAGTGCATGTTCCCAAAATAGATGGAGGCCTGTCAGTCTGTACCATTAAGCGTGAGATCCTTGTCTAGAATTCCCAGTGGGGACAGAGGAAGAGTCGGTGAGCTGTCCCTCATAGAACTCAGACATGCTCAGCTGTTCCGGGAATTTGCTGTTTCACAAAAAACTAAACTCTCCTTTAGAGGTGTGTGTCTTTCTAAATGACCCGTGATTAAAATGACATACACTAACATCATGTAGTTCCAGCTTGACAGCTTTTAAATGCAATATTCTGGAAGGGTAAGGGAAAAGTATGATAAGTTTTGAAAAGAAAAATTGGTCAGGAGTGGATTCAATATCTATTCTGGGTTTCTAGTGAGTCTGGTAGTGTTGCTATAGTAACCTCAGTGCATGAACATAGATCCGTGGAGGGAACAGGGAAGGAAAAATGCTTTGCTCATTGGGCTTCAATGGGGAGAGAAATGTACTTTTTCTGGCTTGTGGTAAACCAAGCACGGCGATGAAGTGTTTCTTACCCCTCCTTTTAGACACCTCAAATAACCCCACCACCCGTACTAATTCCGAAGAAGAAAAGATCCATTGGAGCGTCACTGAATCCTTTCTCTGTGCACACCCCCAAGGTAAAGTGTGTGGAAGCACCTTCCAACTCGATGTACATTATCGCTTAAAATTTATTTTGTTGCTTTTCTATGTGAGCGAAATACCTTTGAATTTGTTCTTGATTTTTTTGTTTTAAATGAGGACTCCCATTTCATCATATAGTTTCATGTATATCAAAAATAGCATGTGCCTGCTTTTGTCATAGTAAATTTTGTGGTTAAGTAGCACGGCTTTATTATAGGTATTACCACTGAGCTAAATGTAATACTTTTCCTCCTGGAAACAAGTATTTCTTTTGTAAACCTAGGGAAAAGTAAAATAATCGAAGCTGTTGCATTAATAATACACAAAGTTGTTTTATAAACGGGAACTGTCATTATCTCTGATCAGCGCAGGACAGTGTGCTTATTTTTAGTCTGCAGGTCTAACTGAGTGAACATTTAAACACGTTTACAGGTAGTTCCTTCAGGAAAAACTGCTTCCCCTGCCTCAAAGAAGGAGCCTCTGTTAACCCCTGTTCCTTTTCCACGTGCTGAACTGGCTGGTAAGTAAGATGTCAGGCAGAGGTACAAGAGTGTGGAGCAGTTGCAAAGTGCTGCCCCAAATGGAGGACCCAGGAGGGAGGAAGTGGAGGCGATTTTGAAGGTATTTGTGATAGCAAGTTTAAGTGCGAAAGATTTAAATTCATAGCAGTAAAAGTTACAAGGTACATCTAGATTTGGAGGTTGACGGGCTGCAAATACAGCGTGGGAAAAGGGTAGGCCCCTATGGCTGTGCTGGGGAGGCAGCAGTTTGTGATGGGAATGGGCAATGCTGCCTGCAGGAGAGCCAGCGCCAGCAGCGGTGTGCACACATGACAAGAAGGAGTCAGGGGCCATCGATTTTGAAGATGTTGACTTTGACGAGCCTATGGAAGCTGAGGAGGTGAATGCGGAGCCTGTGGCTGCTAAGACCTGGGACCAAGCGAGTGAGCCAGCGGAGGTGGCGAAACCTGAGGCAGATCCTGGGAAAGGGACCACGCCCTGCTTGTAAGAGCATTCTGACTTTTCTGGCAAGTAGCGCTACGATTGCTTTGTTGGATTTTGACAAGTTTTTGACAATGTGGTTTTTGCAGAGGAGGTTTTCTCCCAGATGTCTCTTGTTGGGACATCGATCAGGAAGATGACAGCAGTTTCTCAGCCCAGGAAGTTCAAGTGGATTCCAGTCACCTGCCATTGGTAAAAGGGGCAGATGAGGAACAAGTGTTTCAGTTTTATTGGCTGGATGCTTATGAAGATCAGTACAACCAACCAGGTAATCATACTGTATGTCTTTAAGATGGAATAGCGCCTGTCCCTTAAATGCGTTAGTGATTGTAACTGGCACAGGCTCTGCACTCGCATACGTACATAGTAAGGGTGCATGAGGCACCTGAATGGAGAGCAGCTGTTGTGTCCTGTGAATAATCCTCAAAGATGCTTTTCCCCAAAACCAGTTAGTTATATATGGAATGTGTACTTGTAGTTTACCTTCGATGTATCCGAAGTTCTAGTTAATATACTTTAAATAAGAATTGTCATGAATTTGTTCATTTGCTCAGCAAATGAAACATGGTTTTGTATGCCAGGCACTGAGATGGGGTGAACAGGCTGGACAAATTCTCTATCCTAGTGGAACTTATATTCTAGTGGGGTAGAGCAGGTGGGGAGGAATAATAGGCAATAAATAAAGGTAAGTTGGTTAATGGTTTAAAGGCGGTTAATTGGGGGATGGACTCGGAAGGCCTGTCTAAGGAGCCCACCTTTGGGCTAAGATTGAGGGCACGTGCAGATCTGCAGAAAGAGCATTTCAGCCTGATGCACCAGTAAGCACAGGCCTGGAGGGAGGAAGGTGGCAGCTTGTTGGTTGTAGCACAGTAATCAAGTGACAAGATTGATAGAAAATGAAGTTTGAGAAAAAGGCCGAGGGCAGATAAGGAAGAACCTTGAAAGCCATATTAAGGAGCTTAGGTCTTCTTTCAAGAGCCATGGGGAGGTGGTGGAAGATGTTAAGTACCAGCAGGATGGGTGGAATGGCGTTCTTATGGTTGGGCATACATTTTATTTTATTTTTATTATTTTATTTTATTTTTCAGAAATATATTTTATTGATTGTTTTACAGGGAGGAAGGGAGAGGGATAGAGAGCTAGAAACATCGATGAGAGAGAAACATCGACTAGCTGCCTCCTGCACACCCCCTAATGGGGATGTGCCCACAACCGATGTACATGCCCTTGACCGGAATCAAACCTGGGACCTTTCTGTCCGCAGACCGACGCTCTATCCACTGAGCCAAACCGGTTTCGGCCGGACATACATTTTAACAGGAATCTCCAATTTGTGTGGAGAATAGCGCTTATACATTTGCGTGTGTGAGTGTGTCTGTGTGTGTGTGTGTGTGTGTGTGTGTATCTGTGTGTGTGTGTTGGGGCTAGAACAGGGTAGTGGGAAAGTGTAGAAGCACTGGAGATCAGTCAGTGCAGGACAGGCGTGTAGTAGAGAAAAGTGGATGCATTTAACATGTATTTTGACATGAAGTTGTTGATGGATTGATGTGAGGGTTGACAGAGAGGAGGGATCAAGATTGATTCCCAGGTCCTTCTCCCAATGAGCTGATTCTGTTAATTCTGACTCACAAAAGCCAGGAGGCTCTCCAGTTTCCTTTGTGCTCCTTTGAGCCCGTCTTCACTGCAGAGTTGGGCATGACAAAATCTGTTGGATTAGTAGAAAATATACCCTTAAACAGAGATACTTTTATTCAGACCCATTTCTGGATCTGAGGGTAGAAGCAAACTGAATTTTTCAAAAATGGTTTCCTGGAGGCTGCATCTGATGAAAATGGAGTGTAGATGTCAGTGAAGCAAGTGAGTGAGTGAGAAGAGTAAGTATTAATTGTCGAACTTGGAGGCCAGATTTACCTTTAAGATAATCAGGCATGGAATTTAATTGGAAAGACCTTAGTGGTCTCTCAGAGGGGAAACAGAAGCAGCAATATGTTTTAGCTTATCAACTATGTGGAAACTCTTGCAGAGCCACCTGAGCAGCAAACTGCCATGTATTAGTTCCTTAGGTAAAGATATAAGCAGTCCTAGAAATGGTATCATATCTACTTTAGCTAGGGCACGTCACTTTGGTGAGAGCCTCTCACCACTTTGACTACCTCTTTGTTACTTGCCAGTGGGAGGTAGGCTGGCAGGTGTGATTCCGTGAGACTGGGCAAATATTTCCCATCCAATGTGGAAACCCAGGTTGTCCCATGGTGCGGCTGCATGGGACATTGTTTTCACATGTGCTTCATGGGGCCTCTGGAGCATGGCTGTGTGAGTGGTACTCACTGGAATTGTGCCACTTTGTGGGCCTGCCCTTCCCACTGCTACTGTCTGTGCTTTGCTGTATTTGCTTGATGTTAGGTTTGATTTTCTGTCTTGATTAATGGTCCAGTCAAAACCGGAAATGTGGGAGCCAGCCTTGATTCCCCCTTTTCCTCACTTCCTTATTAGTTTTCTCTCCTAAAGTAGACGAGGTGTCTTTCTCATCACAATTCCCACCTCTGGTCCCTTTTTTTTTTTTTTTTTTAAATTACAACACAGATGATCTTTTTTTAAAAAATATATTTTTATTGATTTCTTACAGAGAGGAAGGGAGATAGATAGAGAGCTAGAAACGTCGATGAGAGAGAAACATCGACCAACTGCCTCTTGCACAACCCCTACTGGGAATGTGCCCACAACCAATGTACATGCCCTTGACCGGAATTGAACCCGGGACCTTTCAGTCCGCAGACCGACGCTCTACCACTGAGCCAAACCGGCTTCGGCATCAGGTCCCTTCTTGCCTACATCACACCATTGCCAGAGCTACTGCTCAGAAGGGTAACTCTGACCGTGTCATTTCCTTATTAAAAAACACCCACAGTGGTAATCGCTTATAACATGAAAGTCCGAGTTCCCTAACAAGGCTTCCGGTGCCTGCCAATGCATGACTTTTGTGCCCTAGAAATAGCTTCCTGTCTGTGCCTGATGCTCTTTATACCATGTCCCCTTACTCATTGTGTTTGACTGGAATGCCCTCATGTGACTCAGCCTGTGTCATCTCCAGGAAGTTTCCTAATCCTCCAGACTGACCCCAAGAGCCCTCTCTCTGCGACCCCATCATACCCTTTTCCATCGTAGCATTTGTCATGTTATTTTGAAAAGATCTGATTCTGTGTTTTTGTTTCCCCCAAAGCCTTTTAACTCCTAGAGGCCTGGGACCTTTTATTTCTAGCTTTCAGTGTGATATCAGGCATATACTAGGTGTTTAATAAATGATGATTGAAATAAACTTCAGGGATTGACAGTCCTGTAGACAGATACACAGGAAAGATTTCAGAGAATCCAGAGTTGCATTTGCTACCATGCTGAGTTTGCCTCTTGCAGCCTTGTAGCAGCATAGTGTAAGAATAGGTAGCATAGCCGAGACCAGTTTGGCTCAGTGGATAGAGCGTTGGCCTGTGGACTGAAAGGTCCCGGGTTCGATTCTGGTCAAGGGCATGTACCTTGGTTGCGGGCACATCTCCAGTAGGGGGTGTGCAAGAGGCAGCTGGTCGATGTCTCTCTCTCATCGACATTTCTAACTCTCTATCCCTCTCAATTCCTCTCTATGTAAAATCAATAAAAAAAAAAATAGGTAGCATAGCCCTGGCTGGTTTGCTACAATGGTTAGAGCTGTCAGCCAATGCATTGAAGGGTTGTGGGTTTGATTCCCGATCAACGGGTTGGGGTGCATGCAGGAAGCAACCAGTCTGTGTGTCTCACATCTGTGTTTCCTCCCTCTCTCTCTGAGAAAAGCAATGCAAAAAGTATCCTCAGGTGAGGATTAACCACAAAAAAAGAATAGGTAGAACAAAAGTAGATGGTGCACCCTTCCAGGTTAATTCACACATAAAGCATCAGATTGCTAGTGTCAATTGCCAAGGATTGCAACCTTAAGGAACAACAATCCTCTTTCTTTCCCATGTGAAAAGGAGCATATTATTTCCACCTCTTATTAATTCTCTTATTAAAAAACAGAGCATTGGCCGAAACTGGTTTGGTTCAGTGGTAGAGCGTCGGTCTGCGGACTGAAAGGTCCCAGGTTCGATTCCGGTCAAGGCATGTACCTTGGTTGCGGGCACATCCCCAGTAGGGGGTGTGCAAGAGGCAGCTGGTCGATGTTTCTCTCTCATCGACGTTTCTGGCTCTCTATCTCTCTCCATTCCTCTCTGTAAAAAATCAATAAAATATATTTAAAAAAACAAAACAGCCGAAACCGGTTTGGCTCAATGGATAGAGCGTCGGCTTGGGGACTGAAAGGTCCCAGGTTCGATTCCAGTCAAGGGCATGTATGCATATCCCCAGTAGGGGGTGTGCAAGAGGCAGCTGATCGATGACTCTCATCGATGTTTCTAACTCTCTATCTCTCTCCCTTCCTCTCTGTACAAAATCAATAAAATATATTTAAAAAAAAATAAAAATAAAAAAACAAAACAAAACAAAAAAACAGAGCATTGTTTTACAGGGTAAGGTCTTGAGCTACATTGTCCACTGTGATAGCTACTGGCCATATGTAGCTCTTTAAATTGAAATAAAAATTAAAATTCAGCTTCTCAGCCACTAGCCACATTTCAAGTGCTCAGTAGCCACATGTCACTAGTAGCTACCATATTCATGGATGTCACAGATACAGACAGAACAATTCCCCCAAAGCCATTGGAACTCTTGGGGTGGGGGCTTTTATTTCCAGCTTTCAGAGCAATGCTAGGCAGTGTTGACTTTCTTTTTTTTATTGATTTTATTTATAGAGAGAGAGGAAGGGAAAAAGAGAGAGAAACATACATGTGAGAATGACACATTGATTGACTGCCTCCTGCACGCCCCCTACCTGGGATTGAGCCAGCAACTTGGATATGTGCTCTGACTGGGAATCCTTTCACTGAACTGGATGACACCCAGTCAAGTCATGTAGGCTGGGCAGTGCTGACATTTCTATTGGCTAGTGCTAGTATGTATCGGAATAGATATTGGGGGTTAAAATTGAGGCACTAAAGCACAGGATATTTGTGAAGCAACCAGTTTATACGATGTATTATTGCATTCCTGGTACTAACCCATAGTCATGGATAATCCTTTTCAACCACCTTTGGGAAATATTTTGCAATTAAAAGAAGTACTTGTCTGTTATTGGTCTGTCTTCCAAATGCTAAGGTAAACGGAATTTTCTAATGGTGGATAATGCCTTGGAGATCTTCTGGTCTAGTAATTCACTTATAGAGGAGGAAGCTGAGATTCTGGAAATGAAGTGGTCAGCTCTTCAGTGGCAGAGTTCTGGGCTTCTCACCCTCAGTCCTGCTGTTCTGTGCTACTTTTCAAGTTTTGTGTCCTCGTGATCGATGCCAATGGGTTAAATAAGACAGCTTTTAAAAAGTCCTTTAATCTCAGAGGGTTGAGCAGTTTCATCTTGATAGCAGGTAATGATCACTGAGCCTTGGTGAAATCAATGCCGCTAATAAAAACGAAGTACTCCCAAAGACCCTGTTATTGTTTCTCAGTTTCTTACAGATTCTAAGTAAGTCAGTGGTTGCTGAATGCTCCATAATTATGAAAAGAATCTTACTCTTTGCATATGGGAAGATATCCTGTCTTCATTACGACTTTTTAAAGGTTGAATAATCCTGACTGCACCTGGTTTCAGCTAGTTACTGGGGGGTGTGGAGGGGAAGGGATGGGATCTTTGTTTACCATGATCTTTTTGTGGCAAATGAGGCATAAACAGTGTCAAATGTGTTGCATGAAGTGTGATATTAGTTTGACTGTAAAATGAGCTATTTGAATCTTTGAATCCAATATTAGGGCCTTTATTTTTCTTTGCTTGGAATTTTGTTTTTTTTCATGTCTAACTGTTACAAGGATGACTTTTAATTTTCTGCACTACTGAGATTTTTTTCTTTTTAATCATCTTCACAGTCCCCCCTTCCCTCCCCCCAACCCCCCACCTGTCTCTTTCCCCCAGATGAAAAATCACACAACTCTTGTAAGAATTTTAATCATCTTCAGAAATGAAAATTCTTAGATGGTCTTATTTCTACTAGAATGAGTGACAAAAGGAAGCACTGATGAGCTATCGTGTGAAACCAGAGTAATTAGCCTTGTGTACAGTAGCCTTTATATATGCCAGATTTTTCTTAATGTCTCAGATAAATGGCCATGTTGAGTAGCTATGTTGGTTCCTGCTGTCTAATTATTCATGGAGTCAAGAATTAAGCACAGTGATCATCTCTTAGTTTGACTAGCAAATCTCTGGAGTCCTATCTTGACGTCCAGTTTTCATGAACAATGAATTGATGTCTAGAAAGGCTTTCTTTGACTTTGTAGTATATATTACAGAGGGATTTCAAAAGAAACATGTCTGTTGAGTTGGTTATTAATCCATTTGTTAAACTGAAATAGAGGAGAGGAACATTATAAACACTACTTAGCTAGGTGTCTTTAAGTAGTCTATGAGGTCGAAGGGGTGAAACAGTAGATAGTAGTTGAACCCTATTATAAGACATTTATTATTACTTGGAATAAGATATATGAGATAAATTGTTTTACATATGGCAAAATACTGAGGTACCTATCATACATAGTGTCCTTACACATAAATGTTAATTTTTATCAGTAAGTACAGTGCTAAAAAGGAATTTAGCATTCTCAAAGTTCTCACAAGAGGTTTAAATACGAGATTTGTTGGACTAAAGTTTGCTTTTTTTTTGTTTTGTTTTTGTTTCTCTTACTCTGGGGAATCCTGGTTCGAGGGGAAAATGTATTTTGTGTTTTTTACTCAACACTGACTTAGGATGTCTCCCTGATTCTCCAGGGCTTTCTCACTGACCTAGGGTGTCTCAGTAGTTCCCCGTGTGTCTTCTGAGGCCTGTGATGGCTCCCTAATAACCATCTATTTACCTAGATATCTCCCGACTTTTGGAAAAAAATTGTAACGCCAAGAATCACTCTGTCCCCTGTCCTCCCAGTTGTCACAGGTTTTACCATTGTGTTATCGTCATATGGCATAAGTACTGAGTAAAGGAACTGGTCTTGGGGACTGGATATCACATTACATTAAATGTGATGGAATTGAAATGTTCCTTTTTTCATGTTTTTCTTCTTATTCCTTTAGGTGTGGTATTTCTGTTTGGCAAAGTTTGGATCAAATCTGCTGAAACCTATGTGAGCTGTTGTGTCATGGTGAAAAACATTGAACGAACTCTATACTTCCTTCCCCGTGAAATGGTAAATGTTAGTGATTAGCATCTAATCCTAAGTGCATGCTGTGTTCTGCCACCAGCCCTATTCTTTTTTCTTTTCTTTTTTTACTTCAACTACAATTGCTTTGTCATTATATATAATAATGATTTCAGAGAGAGGAAGGGAGAGAGAGAGAGAGAGAAACATCAATGATGAGAGAGAATCATCTATCAGCTACCTCCTGCATGTCCCCCACTGGGGATCAAGCCCGCAACCCGGGCATGTGCCCTGCTCAGAAATTGAACCATGCCCTCCTGGTTTGTAGGTTGACACTCAGCCACTGAACCACACTGGCCGGGCATCCACCAGCCCTATTATTTATTCAACAGGGCTGTGAATTATCCACAACCTTGATGCTTTTTTTATTGCTATCTGCCTAGTCACCACTGTTTGGCAGCAGCTCCATTAGAAGTTGGGGAAAATAGAGAAATGAAATAACACTCTGTTTTGCAACTTGTTGGAAAGAGTGTGAAAGAGTATAGCATTTCTTGAGTTTTAGTATGTGATGCTGTCTTTCAGCTTCTCATTTCCATAGTAATGACAGCTGGGAGAGTATAGCTCTAAAACGTAGCATGGAGTTTGGCCCAGTTTTCATGCTTTTGTTGTATAGGCAACAGTGTCATTTCACCCACAGCCATTTAACAGGGTCAGTTCCATTTGCTTCTCCTTTTTTATTGGGACTTACCATCCACATTCTCCTCCCCATCTGAGTTGAGCTGTGAAGATTCTTGGTCAGTATTTACAACACTTCTCCCATTTTGTAGGATCGATTGATCGATCAACTTTATTTCTGGTTTGCTTTTATGATGCCATTGGGAGGAATTGGGCATTGGGTTTAGTACATTTTGGGGTATGTTTGCATCTTTGGACTCACTTGTAAGACTGTTCTATTACATGTTTAAATGGGGGAAGATGAAAATTGATTTAGACTTGGGTTTCTGGTGGTTGAAAGATTTATTTATAGATATTCTTTCCCTTCCCTCCCCTTTCCTCTCCATGGGAGAGTAGAAAATTGATCTACACACAGGGAAAGAAACAGGAACTCCAGTTACAATGAAGGATGTTTATAGCGAATTTGATGAGAAAATAGCAACAAAATATAAAATTATGAAGTTCAAGTCCAAGGTTTGTATTTGTGATAACATTTTCCAGCCCTAATTATTAGTTGATTGTTCATTTCCTGATTTAGCAAATAGTTGTTGCATATCTTATTTGTGCAAACTGCCCTCTGTGCGGCTATAATTCATTGAATAGAAATTACATAGATAGCAAAGCAAAACCTTGTTGTATTTGTAAAAAATTTTTACGTCTCTTTATACTGCTTATAAAATAATCATTAATTTCATAGAAAGACTACTCATAGCAAAGTAATTGCTTCCAATAATTGAAGCATATCTGTGCTCTTATTCCCAAATGGAAAGAAACGGTTCTGATCTTGTTTATATTAATTATTGCCAAGTTGTCTTAGAAGGTTAAGTGAGGTTTTATCTTTAAACATTAGGGTCTTTGATGCTATTCTGATACAATAAAATCTTCTGCTCCTGTGACACATAATTGATCAACTGTGAGACGTTGATTTTGTGAGATATTGATGTCTTTGGCTATCATCATGGGGGCTGTGACTCACTCCACATACTGGTTATTAACATACTGGCTATTAACAGTGATTGCAATAAAGGGAGGGTTCAGTTGCTAAAGGGAAGGCTAATGGTCTTAACTATTTGAGCTTTGAATTATGGCTGATGGATCAAGTCTGGAAGGTTCTAGAAGCAGTGTGGTGTGATGGTGAAGAGCACAGGTGCTGGACAATACACCTTGTGCTTTCAAGCGCTAGCCTTACTGCTTCCCAAGTCCAGGGCTGTCACAAGAGCTATTTCAAGAGTTGCTGGAAGGATTGAGTTGATCAACTCATATTAGGTTATTAAAACAGTACTTGGTACATAGCAGGCACTCAGTAAATTTGAGCTATAATTATAATGCTAATTATCAATTTTTCTAGCAAGGTGGGGTTGCTTGCTATTGAAGAGTAGCAAATTACCTAATGCATTAACATTACAAAATTTTTATATATATATATATATATATATATATATATATATATATATATATTATTGATTTTTTACAGAGGAAGAGAGAGGGATAGAAGTTAGAAACATCAATGAGAGAGAGTCATTGATCAGTTGCCTCTTGCACACCTCCTACTGGGAATGTGCCCGCAACCAGGGTACATGCCCTTGACCGGAATCGAACCCTGGACCTTTCAGTCCTCAGGCCAACACTCTATCCACTGAGCTAAACTGGTTCGGGTTTCGGCAACATTACAAAATTTTTTAATGTTTATTGACCTCGCATGCAAATATTTCAAGTTCTGTAATGTCCAAGAGAAGACTTTTTAGCACTTAGTTATTGGGTGTTTTAGTCTTAGTTGAAAGGGGAAACAAGGTGCCACATTGGCTTTATTTACTTCCGTGTTCCATAAGGATGTTAGATTCCTCATGATTAAATGCAGGGACATGCATTGTGTATGCAATGCTTGTCAATGTATCTTGTGAAGTTTTTGTCTAAATGATTTTAAAATATTTGCTTACCCAGATAGTAGAAAAGAACTATGCTTTTGAGATACCTGATGTTCCAGAAAAATCTGAATACTTGGAAGTTAGATACTCGGTAAGTCAAACAAAGAAAATTACTGGGTTTTGGTTGGAAATGACACTGTTCTATTTTTGAAATTTCAATTGGCTTTCAATTAGTGCTGGCAGAGCTCCTCAAGCCCACAGTTCATGGAGGAGGACTCCCAGTAATGAATAATTAAATTAAAATGGATAAAAATTTAAATACATAGACTACAAATTATGCGACTTTTCTCTGCATCTTTAAATACATAAATCGAAACTGCAGAACTGTTAAGTGGAACAAATGCCACGTGATGGAATGTCCCATCATTAGTCTGTTGAAGTGTTCTTTCTGATCATCGGAAAGGTGAGAGCTGAGAGCGTCAGTATTCTTACTGTAGTGCTGCTCTTGCTCTCAGGACAGGTAAGGTCATGGCTATGGGATATTAATTAACTGGACCTTACCTTTGATGCAGTGTTTTGATCCCACGTGTTAAAAACGGGAAACTTTTAAGAAATGTTTCTGACAGTGGTGATGAAATGTACCATGGAAGCAATTTGAATGAGTCCCATTCTCTTGCTTTTATTCCCCTAACGCAGTGGTACTTATTTGGCTGTGTGTGTGTTTTTTGTTTGTTTGTTTGTTTTTTGTGGGGTTTTGTTTTTTGTGTTTTTTTGTTTGTTTGTTTGTTTTTTGTGGGTTTTTGTTTTTTGTGTTTTTGTTTGTTTGTTTTTTGTGGGTTTTGTTTTTTTGTGTGGGTTTTTTTTGTTTGTTTGTTTGTTTTATCAGTAAGGTATGTGTGGTTCTGGACAGAAATCCTCTTTTGGGGAGCTTCTTGGCCTATTTTTCTTCTAATGGATGTCATCAAGATGCATTATTTTGTCATTGTGAATTGTTTTTGTTTCCTACTGTGAATTGTTTTGGATTTCATTTGTAGCAAATTACATTTCATATATATATAAAAGGAGTTTCTTCTGGTACTTCGCAGAGAGGCTTTTGTTTATTTCAAATATAGACTTTGGAAAATGTGAAGTAATAGTTTTAAACAAAAAGTATTTTCTTTTCTTTTTTGCCTTTTTCAGCCTGAAATGCCACAGCTTCCTCAGGATTTGAAAGGAGAAACTTTTTCTCATGTATTTGGGACTAACACATCCAGCTTGGAACTGTTCTTGATGAACAGAAAGATCAAAGGACCTTGTTGGCTTGAAGTTAAAAATCCACGTAAGGAAAATTTTACTTTCAGAATGCTAAGTAAATTGCTGATAGATGCGGTTTATAAGAAGGTAGTTAGGGAATTAGTCTCTTTATTTTTCCTTTTTTATGAATTTTTCTCGAAGTTTTCCTTGAGTGAGGACAGGGAATATGTTTAGAATCACTTTATCACTGTAATGTAAGGTGATCAGATGTCCCGCTTTTGGTGGGACAGCCCCGATTTTTAACAATTTGTCCTGCGTCCCGCAGCATTTTAAAAAAAGGCCCGATATCGGGATGTCTGGTCACCTTACTGTAATGTCTGTCAGTGTAATCAGAGGGAGGCCTTCGTTAGCCCAGGTGGCAGTTGGTCGTATCCCTCATTGGGCTGCTGTCAGTGTGGACTTCCTTTCTGGCTGATGTGGCCCAGTTCTTCCTAGTTCACTGCTAATCTCTGAAGGAGGGGGAGTACCACTGACCAGTGTGGAGAGTGCTGGGTCTCTTATCTGATGTTTTTTAGTATTTGCATCTGTGATACTCTGTTTTGTCTTCATAGATCTCTTAAGTTTTGTGATTTCTCCAAGGCAGTGTTTTATTTCATTTTTTAAAAATACATTTTTATTGATTTCAGAGAGGAAGGGAGAGGGAGAGAGAGATAGAAACATCAGTGATGAGAGAGAATCATTGATCAGCTGCTTCCTGCATGCCCCTTACTGGGGATGGAGCCCGCAACCCAGGCATGTGCCCTGACTGGGAATCGAATTGTGACCTCCTGGTTCATAGGTTGATGCTCAACCACTGAACCATGCCGGCTGGGCACGTTTCTGTTGTTGTTGTTTTTTTCTAAACCTATTTTGGGCCCTGGATTCTTTAGAAAATCTGATGGAAGCTGTAGACCTATTTCCCAGGCAGACGAACATACGTGTACACACACAAGGATTTGCATACAATCCAATAGTGTGTTTTATTGTTAGTTAAATATTACAAGACATTGTTATTAGAAGAGGGGATTGAAGACTTTCTCAGTTAATCACAGATGTCTTAACTGTAGTATTTTTTCTTTTTCTTTTGCTCTGTTGTATTTGTTCTCTTTTAGAGCTCTTAAATCAGCCAATCAGTTGGTGTAAAGTTGAGGCAATGGTTTTGAAACCAGACCTGGTGAATGTAATTAAGGATGTTGGTTCTCCCCCTCTTGTGGTGATGTCTTTCAGCATGAAGACAATACAAAATGCAAAGACACATCAAAATGAGGTAAAAAAAAAAAAAGATAGGACAGATTTTGTACATATGCCTTAGGTGCAGATACTTGCCTGAACTTATACAGTTTTTCTGCAAGGGGAAGTTGTTCTTTTTGAAGGGCAAAGTATACTAACTCCCTACCAAACTTTTAAAAGACTTAAATTGATGACTTACTTATTTCTGGGTTTTTAAATTTTTTGTTTTGGAGAACTTTAAATGGACATAGAATAATTAATGAACTTCCGTATGCCAATCAATTTATTCAGCAATTAGCAAGATTTTGTCACACCCCCTCATTTTTTCCCCCTCCTAAAGTAGTTTAAGGCTAATCTCTGCCATTTATGTCATTGCATCTCTCAAAGCATGCATACTTTCTTATATAATACCATTAATCACCTAAAAACATGAACAGCGATTTCTTGGTATCTAGATAAAATACCCAGCCCATAGCCCCATGACTTCTTTTCTCCAAAATGTCTTTTAACAGTTGGTTTATTTGAATCAGGATTCATACAAGAGTCACAGATGGTGTTTAATTTTTATGTCTCTTGAATCTCTTTTAAACAGGAGCAACTCCCTCCCAACCCCTTACAGTTGTTTTTTTTTTTTTTTCCCCCAGTGATTTTGACTTATTTGAGAATAACACTTGGTTGTCTCATAGAACACCCCATTTTCTGTTTTTGTTTACTTCGTCCGGTGATCGCACTTATTCCTCTATGCCAGAGGTTGGCAAACTATGACCTATGGGCCAAATCCAGCCTACCACTTGCTTTTATAAATCAAGTTTCTTGGAACATAGCAACCTTATTCATTTACATATTATCTGCAGTTGCTTTTGTACTACAGAGGTAGAGTTAGTATCCATGCCAAGGACCTTAAGCCCTGCAAGGCCTACCGTATTTCCTATCTTTATAGAAAAAGCATGCAAACCCCTGCTTTCCTAATAAAATGTTTGTTTATTTATTTTTATGTATGTTTTTTTAATTAAATTAAATTATCTGTGTACATATTTTACCATTGCCTCCCACCTCCCATGCATGCCCTCCATGCCCAGAGTTTTGTGTCCATTGGTTTTGCTTATATGCATGTATACAAGTCCTTCGGTTGATCAGTTATCTCCCCCAGATCTCCCTCCCCTCCCCGCTGTAATTTGACAGTCTGCTTGTTGCTTTACTGTCTCTATATCTATCTTTTGGTTCATCAGCTTATAATGTTCTTTATTACCCATAAATGAGTGAGGTCATGTGGTGTTTCTCTTTCATTGACTGGCTTATTTCACTCAGCATGATGTTCTCCAATTCCATCCACCTAATAAAATGTTTAAAACATTCATTTATATGTACTAAAATCTTTATCTTTTAATATTCTTAGTGGTTTTGTTGAGAATGCAGAATCCATAGTAGGTGTTGGATAAGTGATTTCTTTTCCTCCTTTGTTTGCAGATTATTGCTGTGGCAGCTTTGGTTCATCATAGCTTTGCGTTAGATAAAGCACCGCCACAGCCTCCCTTCCAGTCACACTTCTGTGGTATGTATCTTTAAAGCTGGTTTACTAATGGCTTGATTTTAGTTTTTCTTTTCTATTTTTCTTCAACTGTTGGGCCAGTAACTTGTTTTTTATAATGTTTTCAAAAGTATTGAGTGTTTTATTGGATCAGTTGCCTCTTATTCAGCTGGCTTATTTTGTTCTAAGAGAAGTCAGGAGGCAGTTGGATATCTTTTTCTGTTCCAATGGTTATTGTATTGGGATGGAGTCGTTTTTTTCTGGGTCAAACTTATGCTTTAACTACTTTCTTTTCATGATGTCATTCTACAAACCCATCATAAAAGCCTGTTTGTTTTGGCTATTTTTTTGAGGTCCAACAACATGACCAATAGAAATACTTGATTCTCTTTACTCTTTAGAAATTGGGGGGAATTTATATGTAAGCAGTTTCCATTTGGAAACGGTCAGTGTATGTACACTTGAAATTGGCTAAGACGTGTGTTGGAATCTTTATTTTTCTTCATTCTTACAGTTGTGTCTAAACCAAAGGACTGTATTTTTCCATATGCTTTTAGTGAAGAAATAAAGAAAAAGGTAAAGAAATTGTTTATTTCTTTTAAATATGAAGCATCTATTTGTTTAGATTGAAAAAAGGAGGATGGTGTGGATGATGTTAATCAGTTAGATCTATTCTTGCTACATCATACTGTGACATTGACCCATTAAAATGTATTAGAAATGTAAAACTAAAAGCATTGTTTAGCAATGTTTAAATGTTTCACCATCCGAAAATGGTGGAGTTCTACAGTGTACAAGGTTCAAACCCTCCTGTAGTTAGCTTAATAGGAAGCTTTTCCAAAACTGCATGATCAGGTGATTACTGTTTTTGGGAAAGTGTAGGGTCGAGTGCTACACTCCCCCCCCCCCCCCCCCCCCCCCGTCCAGCTTAAAGGAAGTCAAGTGATGTTGGGAACACTGTGGATATTAAAGGGGACAAGTATTAGAAAGTTGATGTGGGCTTGTCCCAATAGATCAATGATTTCTAAACTCCCAGTATACTCCATTAAGAAGTGTACTCCCACTATACCCATGGGTCCTTAACAAAATGGGTGGGGGTGGATTGGGGAATTGGATAATGTAGTGAGATTTTCACAAAAATAAATGTATTTGAGCCCTTGCTGGTTTGGCTCAGTGGATAGAGCATTGGCTTGCAGACTGAAGGGTCCCGGGTTCTTTGCCAGTCAAGGGCACATGCCCGGGTTGTGGGCTCATTTCCCAGTAGGGGGGTGTGCAGGAAGCGGCAATCAGTGATTCTCTCATCACTGATGTTTCTATCTCTCCCTCTCCTTTCCTCTCTGAAATAAATAAAAATATAAATTTTTAAAAAGTAAATGTATTCGATGTAAAATATTTCTTTTTGAGAGCATATGTTGTTTCTTTTATGAAATGACAGTGTTGGTAAATTTGTAGGTTTTTTTTTTTTTAATGTTCTCACTTGACAAAATTAAAAGTTAGCAACCTGTCAGGTTCTGCTTATTTTAAGTTGGCTGGAGAAGTCTAGTAGTCTGGTGGTACTGTTAGACCAGGCTATTTATTATTTGTGAAGTGCCCATAATTACCTATCCAAGAAGAAATGACCAGGAAAATTTATTCCATTAGAGTCAAACTAATCTTTTTTTAGTCAAGCTAGATATAGAAAACATATAGCCTTCAACTTTCCTTTTAGGAGAGTCTTAATAGATGGATCTTTTGAACACCTGATTTCTGGTTAGTAATCCAAGTGGAAGCCCTTTGTGTGGAGATCGGTTTTATTTATATTTAAGGCACTTGTAATTCTTAAATGAATGTTTGCATTTAGTCTAATTTCTTATTTATACTACCGTAGTACGTTCTTACACCATTATTTGATGTTAGTTTATACAGTCCTTAGAACTTCTTTGTGTGGTAAATACATAAACAGTGCAGTCTAAGAAAGTCAGTACTCTGATTCATGTGCTATAAAATGTGTCCAGATGACAAGTGTGTCCCTGTGGAAGGACGTTTCTGCACTTGATAATGCTCAACGCTTAAAAATTTTTTTCATTCACACTCGTATTACGTGTATAAGCTCCTCAGAGACTTTATGCAACTAAGGCAAAACCTATAATCAGGAATTTTATTGCTGCATTTAGTTTTGAGCTGGGTGGTTTCTTTTAATCCTAAGAAATCTTAACCTGTCTGAGCAAGGAAGCAAGATATAGTGCTTGAGAATAAATAGTGACTGGTTTGTTTTTATCTAACAGAAAGTGAAGGTTGAGATTGCTGCAACAGAGAGAACACTGCTAGGGTTTTTCCTTGCAAAAGTTCACAAAATTGATCCTGATATCATTGTGGTAAGTAATCGTTTGATCATTTCGTGGGGAAGCTCTTCATTCCTTAGTTATTTTAGTTTGATTTGATTGGCATTTTTTTTTTTTTTGAGCAGCAAAGAATCGTTTCAGAGCGAAAGAACCCTATAGATTGGTGGGATTGCTGTACTTACTGCTGACAGAAAGGGGGAAATATCCCAGCCCACTACAAGATAGTATTTTTTCCTGTAATAGAAAGACAACTTATGAATTATTATAGTTTATGCTAATCCAATTATACTTAGAGACCACCAGCCTGTAAGTTAATAAACCTGGGTCAACTGTTGGTATCTCCAGAATTTTGGCTTAGTGGTCCAACTGTATGGATAGCATCCACAGGAGTTAATTCACTTGGTTTGATGCCAATCCCCAAAGTATAAGTATTTGAACTTTATGAGCTCAGTGGATCTCTTTGATATATTTCTTTGAAAGCTCATGGCCAGGGACCATTTTTTCTCTTGATGACTGGGTATGTTTCCATGAGGTAGCAAGAGATAATAGTCATTGCCCCGATTCTTTTCTTTAAATGTTTTTTTTTTAACTTTCAATGTTTATTTTGTATTGGTTTCAGGTATACAGCTAAGTAGTTAGACAATCAAATACTTTGCATAGTGTCCCCTTGATATTTTCCGTTCCCACCTGGCACCATACAAAGTTATTACAGTATTATTGACTATATTTCCTACGCTTTACTTACATCCCTGTGACTATTTTTTTTTTGTAACTACTATCAATATGTGCTTCTCAATCCCTTCAGCTTCTTTCATTCAGTTGCCCAACCCCCTTCCCTCTGGCAACCACCAATTTGCTCTGTGTTTATATGTCTCTTTCAAGTTTGCTTGTTCGTTAATTTTGTTCTTTAGATTCCACATGTAAGTGAAATATACGTTATTTGTCTTTTTCCGACTGGCTTATTTCACTGAGCGTAATACCCTTTTGGTCCATCCACACTATTACATTTGCCCCAATTCTTAAGAATCATAAAGCAACATTTTATTTTATGTTTCCTCTGGCCTTCCTTAGTTTGTAGGCTCCTTGATAGTCCTTCCTTTTGTCTTTTTCCCCTGAATTTGGGAGGGAAGTAGGATATAAATGCTTACATTTTAAATGTTCTCTTGGTAATTTGGTTACATGGAAGGAAGCCTTGCGAACATGTTCTCCATATATTTCTCTGCATTCATGTTTGCTCTTGGACACCTTTCCTGACAATGTGTAGCCCAGGTACCAAGAGTCTATAGGTTGTTACCAGGGTCTCTGCACCCACTTCCCTTACGGTGTTTTAGGACCCATCTTGAAAGTGTCAGGAAGATTCTGTTCACAGTGCCCTACTGTGCTTCTCTGGCTTAGCACCAGACCTGCACTCAGTCTCCACTAGCAGTCTCTCTCTTGGGCCCCAAGAGATGCCACGGTGCCTCGGGTAGGTGTGCTGCCATAAGGTATTAGAGACAAGTCTGTGATTGAGAAATCCAAACTGATGTAAGAGAGAATCCCGATGTGGGTTCGAGTCCCTAATCCCAGGAACGATAATTTGGGAATGAGACATCCTAACGCCCTTTGGGTGTCTTACGAGACAAAACTGCTATAAATATATAGCAGTATCTATTTTTGATTGAAATTAATAACACTATTTATTGATCTGATTTACTTTAAACTTTATCTAGTTTTTTAATAAGTATTGGCAGTGAACCATATTATTCACATGATGGAAATTATTGTAGACATGGAAAATTTGGTTACTTTTTTGAGATATTCTTTACTTGGTATAGTATTGTGTCCTAGTTTTTTTTTTTTTTTTTTTTTTTTTTTATTTTTTATTTATTTTTTTTTTTTAATTAATAATTTATTTATTTTACATATTTTATTGATTTTTTTTTGCCCCCCTCCTTCCCTCCCACGTATCCCCTCCCTCCCCAGAGTTTTATGTCCATTGGTTGTACTTATATGCATGTATACAAGTCCTTGGGTTGATTTATTGTCTCCCCCAGACTCTCCTCCACTCCCCATTGTAATTTGACAATCTGCTTGTTGCTTTACTGTCTCTATATCTATCTTTTGGTTCATCAGTTTATAATGATCTTTATTATCCACAAATGAGTGGGGTCATGTGGTGTTTCTCTTTCATTGATTGGCTTATTTCACTCAGCATGATGTTCTCCAATTCCATCCAGGTTGCTGCAAATGATGAGAATTCCTTCTTTTTTATGGCAGCATAGTATTCCATTGTGTAGATGTACCAAAGTTTTTGGATCCAATCATCAGCTGACGGGCACCTAGGCTGTTTCCAGATTCTGGCTATTGTAGCTTGTGCTGCTATGAACATAGGGGTGCATATATCCTTTCTGATTGGTGTTTCTAGTTTCTTGGGATATATTCCTAGAAGTGGGATTACTGGGTCAAATGGGAGTTCCATTCTCAGTTTTTTGAGGAAACTCCACACTGTTCTCCACAGTGGTTGCACCAGTCTGCATTCCCACCAGCAGTGCACAAGGGTTCCTTTTTCTCCGCAACCTCGCCAACACTTGTCATTTGTTGATTTGTTGATGTTGGCCATTCTGACGGGTGTGAGATGGTACCGCATTGTTGTTTTGATTTGCATCTCTCGGATAATTAGTGACTTTGAGCATGTTTTCATGTGCCTTTTGGCCTTCCTTCTGTCTTCTTTTGTAAATATTCTATTTAGGTCCATTGCCCATTTTTTAATTGGATCATTCATCTTCCTTTTATTTAGTTGTATCAGCTGTCTGTAGATGTTGGAGATTAAACCTTTATCCGTGGTATTATTTGCAAATATATTCTCCCATACCGTGGGCTTTCTTGTTGTTTTGTTGATGGTTTCTTTTGCTGTAAAAAAACTTTTTATTTTGATGTAGTCCCATTTGTTTATTTTCTCTTTAGCTTCCATTGCCCTAGGTGCAGTATCAGTGAAGAAGTTCTTTTGGCATACGTCTGAGATTTTGCTGCCCGTGGATGCTTCTAGTATTTTTATGGTTTCCCGTCTGATGTTTAAGTCCTGTATCCATTTTGAGTTTATTTTTGTGTATGGTGTAAGTTGGTGATCTAGTTTCATTCTTTTGCATGTGTCTGCCCAATTTTCCCAACACCATTTATTGAAGAAACTGTCTTGACTCCATTGTATATTCGTGCCTCCTTTGTCAAATATTAATTGAGCATAGTGATTTGGGTTGATATCTGGGTTCTCGATTCTATTCCATTGATCTATATGTCTGTTCTTGTGCCAGTACCAGGCTGTTTTGAGAACAGTGGCTTTGTAATACAGTTTGAAGTCTGGTATTGAGATCCCTCCTACTTTACCCTTCTTTCTCAGGATTGCTGTGGCTATTCGGGGTCTTTTATTGTTCCAAATGAACTTTTGGAGAGTTCTTTCTAGGTCGGTGAAATATGCCGTTGGTATTTTAATGGGGAGTGCATTGAACCTATAGATTACTTTAGGAAGTATGGACATTTTGATGATGTTGATTCTACCGATCCATGAACATGGTATATTCTTCCATCTCTTTACATCTTCCTCTATCTCTTTTTTCAGTGTCATGTAGTTTTCTGCATATAGGTCCTTTACTTCCTTAGTTAAATTTATTCCTAGGTATCTTAATTTTTTTGGTGCGATGGTAAATGGAATTGCTTTTTTAATCTCTGTTTCTATAGTTTCACTGTTGGTGTATAGAAATGCCGTGGATTTCTTGGCATTAATTTTGTATCCTGCTACATTGCCAAATTCATTTATTAAGTCAATTAGTTTTTTAATGGAGTCTTTTGGGTTTTTTATGTATAATATCATATCATCTGCAAATAAGGATAACTTTACTACTTCTTTTCCAATTTGGATGCCTTTTATTTCCTCCTCTTGTCTAATTGCAATGGCTAGTACTTCCAGTACTATGTCAAACAGGAGTGGCGAGAGTGGGCATCCCTGTCTTGTTCCTGTTCTTAGAGGGAATGGTTTTAGTTTTTGCCCATTGAGTATAATGCTGGCTGTGGGTTTATCATATATAGCTTTTATTATGTTGAGGTATGATCCTTGTACTCCCACCTTGTTAAGAGTTTTTATCAGGAAAGGGTGCTGGATTTTATCAAATGCTTTTTCTGCATCAATTGATATGACTATATGATTTTTATCTTTCAGTTTGTTTATGTGATGTATCACGTTTATTGATTTGCGGATATTGTACCATCCTTGCATTCCTGGAATAAATCCTACTTGGTCATGGTGTATGATCTTTGTGATGTTCATCTGGAGTCTATTTGCTAGAATTTTGTTGAGGATTTTGGCATCTATGTTCATGAGGGATATTGGCCTGTAATTCTCTTTCATTGAGTTGTCTTTATCTGGTTTTGGTATTAGGGTGATGCTGGCTTCATAGAAGGAGTTTGGAAGTGTTCCTTCCTCTTGGATTTTTTGGAATAGTCTGAGGAGGAAAGGTTTTAGTTCTTCCTTGAATGTTTGGTAAAACTCTCCTGTGAAGCCATCAGGCCCTGGGCTTTTGTTTGCTGGAAGCTTTTTGATGACTGTTTCAATTTCTTCCCAAGTCACTGGTCTATTGAGATTTTTAGATTCTTCCTGATTGAGTTTTGGAAGGTTGTATTTTTCTAGGAATATGTCCATTTCGTCCAGGTTGCTCAGTTTGTTGGAATAGAGTTGTTCGTAGTATTTTGTAACAATCTGTTGTATTTCGGTGGGGTCTGTTGTTATTTCACCTCTTTCATTTCTGATTTTGTTTATTTGGGTCCTCTCTCTTTGTTTCTTGGTTAGCCTGGCTAGAGGTTCATCTATCTTGTTTATTCTTTCAAAAAACCAGCTCTTGGTTTTGTTGATCTTATGTATTGTTTTTTTGGTCTCTATGTCGTTTATCTGTGCTCTGATTTTTGTTATTTCCTTCCTTCTGCTTACACTGGGCTTTTCTTGTTGCTCCTTTTCTAATTCTTTGAGTTGTAGAGTTAGATCATCTGTTACCCTTTTTTCTAGTTTTTTGCAATAGGCTTGTAAGGATATGAACTTCCCTCTCAAAACTGCTTTTGCTGTGTCCCATAGATTTTGGATTGTTGTGTTTTCATTGTCATTTGTTGCCAGGATGTTTTTAATTTCTTCCTTGATTTCTCTGGTAACCCAGTCCTTGTTTAATAGCATGCTGTTTAATCTCCATGTGTTTGATTTCTTTGGATTATTTTTATTGTAGTTAATTTCCAGTTTTATGCCATTATGGTCTGAGAAGATACTTGATACGATTTCTATCTTCTTAAATTTGAAGAGACTTTGCCTATGTCCCAAAATGTGGTCTATCTTTGAGAATGTCCCATGTGCACTTGAGAAGAATGTATATTCTGCGGCTTTGGGGTGGAGTGTTCTGAAGATGTCAATTAATTCCATCTGGTCTAGTGAGTCATTTAGGATTGATATTTCTTTGCTGATTTTTTGTTTAGATGATTTGTCGAAGGGTGACAGAGGGGTATTAAAATCTCCTACTATGATTGTATTGCTATGAATCTCTCCCTTAATGTCCTCCAGCAGTTTTTTTATGTATTTGGTTGCTCCTGTATTGGGTGCATATATATTTACCAGGGTAATTTCTTCTTGTTGGATTGTTCCCTTTAGTATTATGAAGTGGCCTTCATTATCTCTTATTATGTCCTTCAATCTGAGATCTAATTTGTCAGATATAAGTATTGCTACCCCAGCTTTTTTTTCATTTCCATTTGCCTGGAAAACTTTTTTCCATCCCTTCACCCTCAGTCTGTGTGCATCTTTTTTTCTGAGGTGGGTTTCTTGTAGACAACAGATGTATGGGTCTTGTTTCCTTATCCAATCTGTTACCCTATGTCTTTTTATTGGAGCATTTAAACCATTTACATTTAAAGTTATTAATGATAGGTACTCATTTGACGCCATTTTTAATCTATACCCATGTTCCTTCTTCACTTAATATTTCTTTATTTTTACAGTAGACCCCTTAGCATTTCTTGCATTGCTGGTTTGGTGGAGATAAATTCCTTCAGTCTTTTTTTGTCTGTGAAGCTCCTGATTTCCCCTTCAATTTTGATTGATAGCCTTGCTGGGTACAGTATTCTTGGATTCAGACCCTTTCTTTGCATGACTTTGTATATTTCATCCCATTCCCTTCTGGCCTGATAAGTTTCCGTTGAGAAATCAGTTGCTAGTCTGATGGGGGTTCCTTTGTATGTAACTTTCTGTCTCTCTCTGGCTGCTTTTAAGATTCTTCCTTTGTCGTTGTTGTTTGCCAATTTAATTATAATATGCCTTGGAGTCTGTTTTCTGGGATTCATTTTGCTTGGGACTCTGCGAGCATCTTGGATTTGTGTGGGTTTTTTCTTCTCTATTTCAGGAAAGTTTTCTGTCATTATTTCTTGAAATACTTTTTCCATGTCTACCTCAGTTTCCTTTCCTTCTGGAACCCCTATTATTCGAATATTGTTTTGTTTTGTATTGTCCCAAAGCTCCCGTAGGCTCTCCTCCTGCTTTTTAATCTTTTTTTCTAGAAGTTGCTCTACTTGGGTATATTTTTCCATCTTATCTTCTAGCTCACTGATGCGGTCCTCTGCTTCATCTATTCTACTCTTGATGCTTTCTATTGAGTTCTTCATGGTAGCGATGTCATTTTTCATTTCCTCTTGGTTCTTCTTCAATTCCTCATGGTTCTTCTTCAATTCCTCGTGGTTCTTCCTCATTTCTTCTTGGTTATTGTCAAATTTCTCTTCCATTCTTTTTAGCCATCCTATGATCATTATTCTGAATTCTTGCTCTGGTAGGCTGGTTGCCTCTGACTCTACTTCCTTTTCTGGTGATGCCTGCTTTTCTTTTATGTGCAGACTATGTTTTTGTCTCCCCATGGCCTCTCTTTTCAGGGTGTCTGGTTATGTGGTGTTCCTTCTCCTGCGCTGATTTAAAGGTACAATATACAACACTACCAGGTACAACACAAGAGGCACTTAACAGGAATGTATTTACAATATTAATAACCTCAAATAAAGGTGACCACTAGAGAAAGGCAACTTAGGGGTTAGGGGAGAAGGAAGAAAGGTAAAAATAAAATAAAGAAAATTTTTTATAAAATTAAAATTTAAAAAAAAATTAAGAAAATAAAATAAAAAAAAGAAGGATAAAGAGATAGAAAAAGAAGAAAAAAAGTAATGACAAAATGAAGTTGGAAAACAGGGAAAAAAAGAAAGGAGAGAGAGAGAGAAAGAAAGAAAGGGAGAGAAGAAGCAAACTAAAAGAGAAATGGGAAACAAACTATATATATGTGGAGAAAATTGCCATAGAACAACTACTGAACCCAGCCAATGCCAGTAACAATATTTGGAGATTAATACAAACTACAATATCCACTATTATTAAGTAAGGCTATGATATACAGAAGTAATAGAAACAAATAAAAACAGAGGATTTAAAAAAAAATACAATGCAACAATAACAACACAGGAATAAGCATAACCATTTCACTAAAAAGCATAAAAATTCACAATAATCAACCCTCACACAAACAATGCGCAAAGGATAGAGGGGAGAACAGTTTTTGTTTTTTTTTTTAACTAGTTAATATAGTACAGAAATTGGTATTTATACACTTGGATCAGGGGTTGGAAATTAGGTCTATACGTATAGTGAGAGCTTTAGCAAGGGGTATACAGAAAGAATAGAGGAAAATCTAGAGCCGGAAAGGGATAGGATAAACCGTCGACTAAAAGGGTAAAGTTTAGTAAGAGAGTGATGGTGTAAAGGTCAAGTTGAGATAGGGTTGAATGATGCTATAGTAGTGATTAAAATAGAATGGAGGTTATTACCAATGTAAAATACAGAAAAAAAATAAAATAAAATGGTACTGGAGAGGAAACAAACAGACAAACAAACAAACAAGAAAAAACAAAGAACAAAAACAAAAAAAACAAAACAAAACAAAAAAAAACAAAAAAAAAGGAAAGAAACAAAAATTGCAAAATAGCAGTAGTAATAGTGATGATAGAGATTGAAAAATGTAATAATTGAAAAGGTAAAATGAAGTAAGGAAAAAAATAGAAAAAATTTTTCTTAAGTAAATGCTATAAAAAGTGAAAATTAAATAAAAGATGTAAAAAATGAAAATAAAATAAAGAATAGTAAAATTAGCATAAAAATGTCCAGTAGTGGTCATTCACTTCCTCTGTTAATGTATTTGGCCCTCCTGATTCTCGGACCAGACAGTCTTGCAGTCCCCAGCATTCCACTGCACCTCAGTTTTGTAAGGTAAACCTTAATTTTAAGCAGGTTATATCTTAGTTATTTGTGTCCGTTTATTTTTGATTAATTAAAAGAAAAAAGAAAGAAAAAAGAAAAAAAAAAAAAAAAGAAAAAAGAAGAAAAAAAAAAAAAACAAAACAAAACAAAAAAAAAGGCAGTTTGTAATTCGGCTCTTAGGTGTCAGTGTTTCCGGTTTGACCTCCCAGTCTTTTTGGTTGCTCTGGCCTTCTTTCTCTATGGCTCTAGCTGGCTCCAGGACTATGTCTTCTGGCTCCAATCCCTTTTTTCCAGAAGGCAAATTCCCCCTACAATTTCCCCGGCTATGCCCAACTGGGCAGTTCTTCTCTAGTATTCAGAAGCAAGGGGATGAATGGGAACCGGTGCCAAGGTGTCCAGATGTTCCGCCCTTGGCGGGACAGCCGCAATTCTTAACACTCTGTCCGGTGTCCCCTGGCTTTTTAAAAAAGTCCCGCTTCTGGGGGGGATTACTTCAAACCCAGCACTAGGTGTCGCTGCAGCCTTCTCTGGGCTCCGCTCCGCCTCCGCGGGCGGTAGTTCGCGAACCCGTCTACAGTGGAGGCAGGGCTGGAGCTCCCCGGCTACCGTAGCGGAGGCGGGGCCGGAGCTCCCCGGCTGCCGTAGTGGAGGCGGGGCCGGAGCTCCCCGGCTGCCGTAGTGGAGGCGGGGCCGGAGCTCGCCTCCGCGGAACCCAGATCCCTTAGGCTATCCCCGCAAACTCTGACCTTTCCGTGGGTGACTGAAGATCTCCCCGGAATCCACGTGTCTGCGCAGCTCTGGGAGTCTCAGCTGCTCGATGGACCTCCGGGCTGTGCGTTTTCCACGCCTCAGAGAAGCTCTTTCCTTCCTGGCAAGACAATGCAGCCCTTCCTCCACGCCCGCAGCCCACCACTCGCTGCCTCCGCCGCTGCCGCCGCTGCCGTCCTGGCCACTTGGTCAGGAAATCCTGTCCAGCGGACCCTCCCTTACCCTCCTTGAGAGCTCCGCTGTCCCTTAGCTGCCAAATAACACTCCCTGAGCGACTCAGAAGCCCCCTTTATCCGTTCTGGGACCAGAGTCAGAACAGGTCCGACTGTTCGGTCGCCATCTTCAAGCTCCGCCTCCTAGTTTTTTTTTTAATTTTTTTTTACAAGTTTATTATTTGAACTATTGAGTGGTATTATTTACTGTGTTGCATGTTGCTTAGGAGTCTAAATCAGCACTGTTTGAACTCAGTTCTTTAGGAAAAAACTAGATGCAGTTCCCGAGCTTTCTAAAAGTGTGTAAATGTAATATAATACAAACAGCTTCTTGTTTTTTTAAAGAAGTAAAACCGAATTGTTTGAATATAGCTTTTACTGATCATATAAAAAGTGTGGACATTAAAATTTGCCCTTGCCTTTGAGACTAGGAGGCACGAGCTGCAAATTAAAAGACATTTTCTGAACCTTGCATCAATTAGGATGAGATAAAGTTTATTTCAGCAATCTGCTTAGCAGTCTTGTGAATGTCAAGGCTAATGAATGCTGCTGATGAATAAGTTCCTGAAGAAGAAAGGATCCCAACCGGAGGTAAACTCATGATGCCTTCAATTAGAGACCAGAAAAAGAAAGGGCAAAGAAATTCTATGCATATGAAGATAAATCCTCTAATTTGCATTTGATATGTTATTGGCTGTCGTCTTTTCCTGCCTAGGGTCATAATATTTATGGATTCGAACTGGAAGTGTTATTGCAGAGAATTAACGCGTGCAAAGTTCCTCACTGGTCCAAGATAGGCCGGCTGAAGCGAGCCAATATGCCAAAGCTTGGGGTAATAATCATTTTCAAGATCTTGCTTTTTTAATTTGACTTTTTATATGCTTTGACTAGGAATTGGCTGTCTTGTGGCAGGACATTTTAACTGTGGCACTAAGCATATTTTCCTTTGAATCGAGCATTTTATTGGTAAAAGCCACTGGTAGTTCTGGAAATTAGCTGTTGGGATCTAGAGACAGCACATATATGTTACCTCCACTTCAGCTGTACCAAAGCACTAGCCCATAGAGCAGAGGTGAGGGCTCAGAATTCATTGAGTATGATTATTCAGGAAGGTGATGATGGGAGGGAGCTGACACTGACTGTATAAGAAGGCAGTGGGCTAAGTGCCTTCTGTAAAGAACTTGTTCAGAATCACAGAGCTAGAAAGGGAAGAGCTGAACATTTTGGACCCAGGCCTTTCTGACCCGTAAGCCTCATGCACCTTCATTCTACCTGCTTGCTTCACTTAGAGGGATGTTGGTGTTTCATATGAAGTGCCTTTGTTTCCTAAACCTGATACTGCTCAAGGCTTGAAATCTTATTTTACTTAAAGTCTCCAAATAAAATGGGCATGTTGTCTCATCAGAGAACTTAGAAATCTGTACCTTTGATAATGCTCTTCCGAGGATTGGAATTGGAGCCACTGCTCTTGCTTTTTTCCTTATTCATATCTTTGAGGTAATAGAGAGGTTAGTAACAATTCATCAGAACACTTGCCTAAATTAACTCTTTACCCTGTATATAGCAACTTTTTGGCGAGGTTTACCCTGACAACCCCATTTAAGATTCAGTTTCCTCAAATTCGTTGTTTTCTCACCCCGTTCTACTTTTTCTCTGTTCCATATACTTGTTTCCCCTAAAACTATAATTTCTTGTTTTATGATACCTGTTTATTATTGTATATTTCAAATGAGATCAGGATTCTTCTCTTTTGCTCACTGCTATATCCGAGGACCTGGAAAAGTGTTGTTCAAAAATATTTAATTAATGACTGGATGAGTGGAAGAATGAGAATTTCATTATTGGAATTTTGGGGCTACCCTCAAATAAGTGAGCACAAAATATTCTCTCTCATTGCCTGCTTTTCCATGGTATTGACTTTTTGTCTTTCCCTTGTAGGGCAGGAGTGGATTTGGTGAAAGAAATGCTACCTGTGGCCGAATGATCTGTGATGTGGAAATTTCGGCAAAAGAATTAATTCGTTGTAAAAGCTACCATTTGTCTGAACTTGTTCAACAGATTCTGAAAACGGAAAGGGTTGTAATCCCCGTGGAAAATATACAAAATATGTACAGGTATGATCTTGGATGCTTCAGAATTGGATTTGTCTTGAAATTAGCAAAAGAAAGACACCAGAATCATTCTTAGGAGCGCGTGGTGCTATAGAGAGGAACATTGTCTTCATGTCAACACCACCATCTCCGTTATGTCAATAGTAATTTGAACTATTTTCCTTTTGAATTATTCTACTTTTATCAGTTTATCTCTACCTCCCTCACTTGACACCATCTTAATGTTTCCTAAGAGCAGTTTGGAAATGAATGTGATATTTATGTTTTCATCCTTACTTCATTATCTCAGGAATTAGTGTAAATATTTTAGAAATATAAAAACTGAGAAATCATTAAGTTATTTAGAGAGATTGCTCAGTTATTTCTTCCAGCTTTTTTGAGGTAAAATTGACATAAAATGTGTATATTTAAGGTATGCAACTTGATGTTTGATATACAGTGTGAAATAATCATCACATTCAAGCTAATTAGCTTATCGCCTTACAGTTACTCCCCCCCCCCCAAAAAAAATGAAGTTTAGTTAATTTGAGGTACTAACGACAGAGAATATCTGAGGTGTGAGCAAATCGTTTTAATGATATTTATTCTTTTTCTCATTCAACACATATTTATGGGACATTTATTAAACATTTGAGGCACCTGCACTCAGTGCTATTTTATGATTTCAAAGCAACACAGAAGTGTATTTTCATGGCATGTACCCAAGACCAAGTCTTATAGTTACTTTTTTGTGTGTGGTGAGACCATTTAAGATTTAACCTCTTAGCAAATTTTAAGCATACGATATAATATTGTTAACTGTAGTCACATTGCTGTACATTAGATTTCCAGAGCTTACTCATTTTGTGTAACTGGAACTTTGTGCTTAATGATTTCTTAAATAAGGTTTCTTCTACCCCTCTGGCCACTTGTTTTCTGCCTATTCCTCCCGAGTCCTTGGACTGCTTCCCTTTCTGACTTTGCTGCTTTTCTAGGTGATCTCATCAAGTCTCAGAGAGTTCCATACCGTGTGGGTGCTGATGGAATATCTTATGTTCCCACCGGCATATCTTCAGCTTAGCCTTTCCCCTGAGGTCCAGACTCATGTAGTCACCTGCCTGTTCTACTTGGTGTCTACTATGAACCTCCAACTTACCTTGAGCTTCTGATCTTCTCCCCTAGGTTCCTTTTGTAGTCTTTCCTTTAGTAATGATAACTCTTTATTTTTCCGGTGCTGCTGGAAACCTAAGTTGTCCTCGGCCCCAAACCTTTCATGTATTCATGATTCTTATCTCTGACATGAACGTTCATTCTTTCAGGAAATCCTGACAGCTCTATCTTCAAAATATGTCTAGATCTGACCTTCCATTGGACTCACCCTGGTCCAAACTGTCAACCTCTTTTCCCTTCCATTGGACTCACTCTGGTCCAAGCTACCAACCTCTTTCCACTGGATGACTAGGTCTTACATTAGCCTTCTCACTGGCCTTTTTGGTTTTGCTCTTGACTCCTTGCTTTCCCCCCCCTCAACTCCAGAACCAGATTATCCTGCTGAAGTTAAGTCAGTTATTGCATTCTGCTCAGAATCTTCCAGTGGCTTTCTGTTTCATTCAAAGTAAAAACCAAAGTCCTTATGTTGACTTTCAAGGTCCTACGTACTGTGTCTCTCTGCCATTAACTCTGCCCTTGCCTTCTGTTCTCTCCATCTTTCTCTCTGTTCCAGCCATTGGTCTCCTTCCTGGTCCTAGAATTACCATATTTACACTTAACTCAGGGCCTTTGAATGTGCTATTCTGTCTGCCTTAAATGCTCTTCCCTCAGATACCCAGTTATTCTCAGTGAACTCTTCCCCAGTTCCCTAGCCGAAAATTCAGTCTTTGCTCCTGACACTTAATATTCCTTTTGATTTTTCTCTCTCGCTTTAACAGCATTACATAACGTACCATATATTTAATTTATTATTTATACTTTATCTCTTCCATGAGGATACAAGCCCATTGAGACAGGATATCTGGCACATAGTAGGCATGCGAGACATACTTATTAGATGGAATGAATGAAAGGTTTCAGGTTGTAGTACTTCACTTTATTTTTGTGAGTTTTTTTTTGTGTTTTGAGAAGGGCATTGGAATTGATGGTATGAATGAATTCCTAGTTTTATACCAACCTTATTTTAAATTACTTTCGAAGCCAAAGTGCCGTTGCTCTGGTTACTTATACCAAGGATTTTTATAATTTTTTACGAAGTTCTGATTATAGTCATTGTTTCCTTTAATTACTTGATTCTGTTTCATTCTTACTTTTCTGTACAGTGAACCCTCTCATCTGTTGTACCTGTTGGAACACACCTGGAAAGATGCCAGGTTCATTTTGCAGATCTTGTGTGAGCTAAATGTTCTTCCATTAGCATTGCAGATCACTAACATCGCTGGGAACATTATGGTAAATTTAACTTGGAGGGGGGAAAAAGCATTTCCTGTCGGATTCAGTGTTTGCTTGGGGTAGTTGTTATATGATAATGAGTCTAAATGCATACTTATAAAATGAGTGACTTGTATTCTGAAAGCTGGGCTTCTTTTGTAAAATGAAGAACTTTGGTTGGGAGGAGGGGAGGAAAACCAGGTGCAGTATATTGAAATTTGGGTGAACATAAGATCATCTCTAAAATCTGGCTGTGTCTCATTTGTTGAATGGCCCACTTGGGAGTGAAGAGATAGCCTAAGTTGTCAGTATTTTTAAGCTTTTTGTCTCCTTTTAACTATAACGCGTAAAGAAAATGCTAGGGATAATTCAGTACCTTTAAAAACTAGCCCTTGTTAAGAGGAATGATTTTGAAGGAGGTGCTATGATTAAGTTTTTACCAGGTCCAAGTTGCTCTTATTTGTTGTGATTTGAGCTCAAATTTAAAAAAGAAATTTTGTTTAATAGTCTAGGACGCTGATGGGTGGACGAGCCGAGCGTAATGAGTTCTTGTTGCTTCATGCGTTTTATGAAAACAACTATATTGTGCCTGACAAGCAGATTTTCAGGAAGCCTCAGCAAAAACTGGTGGGTCTAAAATTGTATAGCGTTTTGCCTTTTCTTATCACCCCCTTTTATTACCTATATAGCCTTTTTTGCTGTGATAATATCTTCCAAAATAATGCCTGTATACTGTAGAAACTGAGTCAAGTTTGTTCTGTTGTATGTGTGGGGGCATTTCCCTCTGCACTCTTCTCTGTACAGATAAAAATTATGAAATAGGAAATTCTTTGAGGGAGGCATTAGGCCTCTCTGACACGTGACCATACATAGAAAGTGTTTTGGTACCTTACTTAGCCCTGCACAAAGCTACATGCCAGTTAAATCTTTTATTTTCTTAAACGCATGAGCCTTTATTTTTGTGTTGCATTTTATCTACTAATGACATGAAGATCACCACAATCGGGTTTCTGAAGTGGCTTTCATTATGTTGGAACTCAAAGTTAGCTGCTATTTTATTGGCACAGATAGTAATTGATTCAGAAAGGGAATTTAATATTAAAATTATTCAGGTATTTTCTTATTTTGTGTACTTCATCAAAATTAGTATAGGGCAAATTGACTTAGACAAATTTGACTTCTGCTGAGCAGCATTGAATGTCGGCCATTAACAAACTACTTGGGAATAAATTTTTATTTTTATTTTTTAAAAATATATTTTATTGATTTTTTACAAAGGAAGAGAGAGGGATAGAGTTAGAAACATCGATGAGAGAGAAACATCGATCAGCTGCCTCTTGCACACTCCCTAACGGGGATGTGACGCAAACAAGGTACATGCCCTTGACCAGAATCGAACCTGTGACCTTTCAGTCTGCAGGCTGACACTCTATCTATTGAGCCAAACCGGTTTCGGCGGGAATAAATTTTTAGTATATGGATATATTTATTTTAAGGTGTCCATATTAACATTTCGCATAATGATAATATCTACTATATGAAGTAATTTTCTGTTTTTCATATCATGAATATTAGAGTAATGAATTTACTAAGGGGACTCTTTTACAATCCCAATTTGTACATAATATCAAGAGTTATATTTATAGTATCTATTGATTTAAAAAAGTGAAGTTCTGTGAATTCAGAACTATTTTAAAGTAAAATTTGGACACTTATTAGCTCAGAGAGAGAGCATTTATTTCAGTAATTACCATGCTTGGCATTCATTTGGATTCATGAATATGTTTCAATAACTGTGGTCCTACCACTAAAGCTAAATAATGTTTGTTAAAACTGTATATTGCATTTGGAAAAGGAGGGAGTCCCAAAACTTTTTAATTAGTTGATTCGTTGCTGGCTGGAGAAGTTATCTTTCCATTTGATATTAGGGAGATGAAGATGAAGACATGGATGGAGATGTCAATAAATACAAGAAAGGACGGAAGAAAGCAGCTTATGCTGGAGGCTTGGTATTGGACCCTAAAGTCGGTAAGGCTGGCTTGCCCTGGTGTTAAGGAATTTTTTTTTTTTAAATATATTTTATTGATTTTTTCCAGAGAGGAAGGGAGAGAGAGAGAGAGCTAGAAATGTCGATGAGAGAAACATGGACCAGTTGCCTCTTGCACGCCCCCCACCGGGGATGTGCCCACAACCAAGGTACATGCCCTTGACCGGAATCGAACCCGGGATCTTTCAGTCCACAGACCGACGCTCTATCACTGAGCCAAACCGGTTTCGCCAAGGAATTTCTTAACGCAGAGTGAAGCTTGAGAAACTAAAAGACATGAATTGTATTTTGTAGGTTTTCAAATAGGTCTCATAATAACAGTATTTCATATTGGACAGCAAAATTAAAGGAAGTTTAGACAGTAACCACCAAATTGAACTTCAGCAGGAGAATCACTTTTCCCTGTTCTGAATAGTAAAAATGTTTTGTGATACACAGAGTAGAAAGTATCTTTTTTTTTTTTTTTTTTTAGTATCTTAATCATTTTTAAGTATACAGATGAGTGGTGTTAGGTATATTCACATTGTTGCACGGGAATTAATGTGAATTTTATCAAGTAACTTAAACTCTGAGTAGGAGACATTTGAAATTGTTAGCTGTAGTAAAACAGATCGGTAGTCCAGTTGTCCTTCAGTGCTAGATCGATCTGGGCTTGAATTCTGGCTGTGATCTTGGACTTCCTGTTTACCCTTTGAAAGCCTCCGTTTTCTCTTCTGTAAAATGGAGATAAGAATAATATCTGTCACACAGAGATTTAAGGAATAAAAGTGACTGTTTAGTATAGTGCCTGACCCAGAGTAAGCTTTTAATATGTTTGCTGTTGTTACTGTCTTATTAATAGACATTTACTTTTATTCAGTTTCTTCCTAAGCCGACACAGTAAGCTTTCAATAAGTTTTCTGTTGTTATTATTGTCTTATTAATGGACATTTACTTTTATTCAGTTTCTTCTTAAGGTGAAGAAAACTGTTTGTAAGTGTCCTAGAGAAATATAGTAGCTTTCTGTTCACCCTTTGCAAGTAAAAAGAGTGGATCGTTCCACTACTGACATGTATACATCTCTTGTGTGATTTTAGCACAGTTTGTGTACAGTGCTAAGTGGGTTGCTCAGTTTGTTCTTTGAAGGTATGATTGTAAAATATATATATATATATATATATATATATATATATATATATATATATATATTATATCTCCACTCATTGTAGAGATCACTAAATATTTTTTGGGGGGAGGTGGAAGGGAATGCTTGCTTGAAGGAGAATTTAACAATATTAAAAAAAAAATATGACACCTGTCTATAGTAATTGATATGGGGAGGTATTTGCCTGTCATAAGGGTGTACTTTGGGAACTTCTGGGGAGAGGGCTGGTTGTAATTGGTTTCAAGGTGAGAGAGGACCTCTTTTGTGAACTGACTTTGCACTCTAGTCCAAGTCATTTTTATAGCATGGTAGTAGACTCCTTTTTCCCCCTTCTGTCTACCCCATAGCTCTGGATAGTATATTGTTTCTAACATACTTCAGAGTATAGTACTTCTAACGTGATCTTTTGACAAATCTACGTTTTGAAAAGACTTTGTATTGTGGTTTTTATATTGCAGGTTTTTATGATAAGTTCATTTTGCTTCTGGACTTCAACAGCTTATATCCTTCCATCATTCAGGAATTCAACATTTGTTTTACAACAGTGCAAAGAGTTGCTTCAGACACACACAAGGTTACAGAGGTTTGTGTTCAACTGGGGTGGGGGGGCTCTTGAAATTGAGATTAAAAGTAGTACTTAATGAAGAGAACCAAAGTATTTAGTTTTCCCTCTTAAAAGGTACATTATATCCTTTTTAGTGGTCAGAAAAAGGGGAGGGTTATATAGAAGGAAATTCAGACTGGTTTTGTGTCTTTTTTATTTAACAACTTTATTGAGATGTAATTCACATACTATTTACAATTTAGTCATTTAAAGTCTAAATTTAATGGTTGTTAGTGTATTCACAGAGTTTATAACCTTCACCATAGTTGATATTAGGACATTTTCATTACTCTTCAAAGAAACCCCCTAACTTTTACTTGTATCTTCCCTTAATCCCTCTCCCTCTCCCAGGTCTAAGCAACCACTACTCTTCCTGCCTCTATAGATTTGTGTATTTTTGACATTTCATATAAATGGAATCACATGTGACCTGCGTCCAGCTTATTTCACTTAGCATACTGTTTTCAAGATTCATTCGTATTGTAGCATCTGTTAGTACTTCATTCCTTCTTATTGCTGAATATTTGATTTTATGGAAGTGGTATATCACATTTTGTTTGTTTTAGAATCATCTTCTCAATTTATGCAAAATGGCTGCTGGGATTTTGATAGGAATTGTATTGGTTGTGTAAATCAGTTTGGGGAGTATTGTCTTAAGAATGTTAAATCTTCCATTTATTTAGATATGCAATTTCTTACAATGATGTTTTCTAGTTTTCAGTGTGTAAGTCTTGCACTTATTAAAATTTATTTGTAAGTATTTTATCTTTTTTGAGTCTATTATAAATGAAATTGTTTTCTTAATTTTAAGATTTGTTCATTGCTAATATACAGAAAAATAACAGCTGCACTTAAGTATTAGTTCTAATAGTTTTATGGATTTTTTAGGATTTTTTTTTATATATGATCATGTCATCTGTGAATAAAGATCATTTAATTCTTTCCTATTTGGATTCCTTATATTTCTTTTCCTTGCCTAGAATTCCCCTTACTAGAACCTCCAGTATAATGTTAAATTTAAGTGTAAAAGCAGGCACCCATGTCTTGTTTCTGATCTTTGGTGACAGCATCTAATCTTTCATCATTAGGTATGATGCTAGCCGTAGATTTCCCACCTTTGTAAGGTCGAGGAAGTTCCCTTCTGCTCCTAGTTCATTCTAGTTTATTGAGTGTTTTATCATAAAAGGGTATTGTACCAACCTGCATTTCTGGGTTAAGTCCCACTTCTTGGCATATAATCTTTTTTTATATGTTGCTGGATTCGATTTATTAGTATTTTGTTTAGTTTTTGCCTGGATTCATACAGGCTGTTAGTGTGTAGTCTTTTCCCCTTTCTTTGGTTTTGGTATTAGGTTAATACTGGTCTGATAGAATGGGTTGGTAAGTAATCCCTCCTTTTCTGTATTTTCGGCTTGTTTGTGAGGAATTTATGTTAATTTTTAAAATATTTGATAGAATTCACTTGTGAAAATTATCTGGTCTTAACACTTCTTTTTTTGATTACTAAGTCAACCTATTGTTATAGGTCTTTTTAAATTTTCTATTTTCCCTTCAGTCAGTTTCAGTTGTTTGTGTCTTTCTAGAAATTTGTCCATTTCATGTAGGTTATCTAATTTATTGGCATAAAATTGTGTATAGTATTCTTTTAAAATCATTGCTATTTAAGTTCAGTAGGGATGTACCCTCTTTTATTCCTGATTTTAGTAATTTGAGTGTTCTTTTTTTCTTTGTCAATATAGCCAAACTTTGTTAATTTTATTGGTCTTTTCAAAGAAGTACCTTTGGTTTTCTTGATTTTTCTGTTGCTTTTTTAAAATTCTCTATTTCATTCATTTCTGCTATAATCTTTCTTCTTTTCTCTGCTTTCTTTAGTTTAGTTTGCCCATTTTCTAGTGTCTTACGGTGGAAGTTTAGGTTATAGATATCATATTGTCTCTTGTAATATAAATATACACAATTATAAATTTTCCTACAAGCACTGCTTTAGCTTCATCCATGAGTTTTGGTATATCACATTTGCCTTTTCATAGTCAGTCCCATTTCCCCTATGTCAACCATTGATCTGACTTCTATCACCATAGTTTAATCTTGCCTGTTGTAGAATTCATTTAAATAGAGTGATACAGTATGTACTCTTTTGTGTCTGGCTTTTTTTGTTCAACATAATGTTTTTGAGCTTCATCCGGTGGTTCTTTCCTTTCCATTGCTGAGGAATATTCCACACTTTATTCTCCTGAGATGAGTGTTGGATTGACTTCAGTTTTGGGCTTTTAGTAATAAAGCTGCTGTGAATATTCTTGTATGGATCTTTTTGTGGATTTATGCTTTCAGTTTTGATGGGGTCAATACTTACGGAATGAATTCGTTGTTTGTAGGGCAAGTATATGTTTAATTTGATAAGAACCTGTCATACTGTTTTCCTAAGTAGTTATACCATTTAACACTCCTACCAGCTATGTGTGCGAGTTGTTCCCCATCTTCTTCAACACTTGTTATTTTCAATCTTACAAATTTTGTCTATGCAAGCATTGCCTTAATGATTCTACTCACTAAATAGCCGTTTTTAAAAATAAAAAATTGTGTTTTTTTTTTGTTTTTTGTTTTTTTTACAGAGAGGAAGGGAGAAGGATAAAGAGTTAGAAACATCAATGAGAGAGAAACATTGACCAGCTGCCTCCTGCACACCCCTTATTGGGTACATGCCCTTGACCAGGATCAAACCTGGGACCCTTCAGACCACAGGCCAATGCTCTATCCACTGAGCCACACCAGTTAGCGCAATAGCCCTTTTTAAATAATCTTTTAATTCTCTCACATGGATTTTAATCTAACCAATGATCCTTCAGTCAACAGTTTTATATAGGGCTTAATTTATATATAAAGCTTATACAGTTAACTTTCAGTAGGGGAATTGGTTAGATTTGATTCTCCAGCAGTAAAAGATATAAATGAACACACTACCTTGTATATTGTTTTTCTCTGCTTCTTTGTACATGTGGCAGATGTCTATTTGCCCTCCAGCTCCTGAACTTACATTTCTTTTTAGTTCCATCCACATGCTTGGGAGCTGTTTCTCAGCCCCTGTTCCATCTTCCCAGAAGAGAGAATCTTACAGGCTTGCCTTGCCGTCCTGGTCTCATCAGTTGTGATCACAGGAGTGGGTTCTTTAGTACAAACAGGGGTATTAGGAATGGGCCTTCCTATGGGACTAGAGGATAATTTTAAGAAGGATTAGGTGGACATTCTCAAAAGGTAGTAGCTGCATTTCCTGCAACTGTGTGAGCATTGTGACAATTTTCATTACCACTCTCCCCCCACCCTTTTTTTTTTAATTTTCCATTTTGGATTCTGGATATATAATGGAATCATTTCAGAGTTCAAAGGGAACTTAGAGGTACTCTACAAAATATATGTAGAAATTTAGAGGTTCTTATTTTCCTGTACGGTCTGTCTTCAGAACAGCGAGTGCCACACTGGTAGTGGCAGAAGAGCCAGGCATGGATTATAAATTTCCTGACTCTAAATCCTTTCAGTTTAGTTTTTATCTGACCGCCATAGATGCTGTAAATAGATTGGAATATATACCAAGATCTCTTTAATAGGTTTGTTACCATCTTTTGCTGTATTGGAAAGCAATGCGTCCCTGTTACTCTTGTAAGATTGCTCATTGGAAGATACTGATCTTTATAAAATTAGATACTTTGTAAAAGCTGGGTTATCAAGTGGCATCGACTTGACAGACTTTAAGCCAAGAGGTTTATTTTTAATTCTGACTCTTTGAAGGGGCAAATTTGCCTGACTTTTCTTTGCAATCTATTAATGGAATTAATGGAAGTTTGAGAGAAATGGTTTAATGCTTTTCCTGCCTTTTTTTTTTTTTTTTTTGCTATAAATTATAAGAAGACTACTGGTTGCTTTTCTAGAATGTTGCTGTTCTTTTACTGATTGCAAAGCAATTTATAGATAAAAGGTACTACATATATGCTAAGGAATATGTATGGGCTGGGAAAAAGTAGGTTTACAATTATTCGTATGGAAAATTATACAATAATAAATAATACAAGAATAAACTGTGTTTCTCATACTCAAAACTGTAAAACTACTTTTGACCGCCCGTGTATGTATTAATTTTTAGAAATGTCATGACCTATTTAAATATCCGTTCCAAATTCTTGAAATTTGCTAATTTAGACTTTTATTTTTGTGCCTAAAACATTTATAGTATTTGCTATGATTTTCCATAGTTTTAAAAATGTTATAGCATTTTGTTTGATAGTATACATGACTTAAAACAGTTTCATTGATTTTTTTTTTTTAATCCTAAGACTCTCTCTTACTGTTTTAATTGTAAAAACAGTTTCCCCAAATCTATTTCTCCCCAATCTTGTTGAACAGAGGAGAAGAGCATGTGTAAAAACTCACCCCTTTAATTGATATCTACTGTGTCAATGCCTAGAGGGGTAGGAGGTACTGGGCAGTATTGACTTGTTCTGCCGCAAACCTCTCAGCTCTTTCTTTGCCACCCATGCATTATTGACCCTTACTGTACACTGTACAAGGAAGTACTTTTTCAACGTGATCAGGGGATAGATCTCCCCCAAAATGATTTAGAAATTTATTTAATAAAAGTTGATTTGTCTGAAATTTCTGTTGTGTGTTCACCAGGATGAAGAACAAGAACAGATCCCCGAGCTGCCAGATCCAGGCTTAGACATGGGCATTTTGCCCAGAGAAATCCGGAAGCTGGTAGAGCGGAGAAAACAAGTCAAACAGCTAATGAAGCAGCAGGATTTAAATCCGGACCTTGTTCTTCAGGTATAACTTTTCCACTGAGAGACATCTGAGTGACAGTATCAGCTTTCAGAAATTGCTTATCTGGGAGTGATTTAACATGATGCTGTGGGCAAAATGCATGCGCCTTTTTTACATTTGAGGGGAGGAAACCATTCAAAAACACACTGGATCGCCTCAAACGGGAAGGTACTTCTATCTGCAAAGCTGTATCTGAGGAAGATCCTTCCGACTTCAGGAGTTTTGGGGTCTCTGGGAGGATAGGTTGAATGTGTTGAGAGTTTTTTTATTTCTTCAGGAATATTGAGGGTTTCTCGTCACTGGTCATCTAGAAAAACTTAGTGTAATGCTTATGCATTTGCCAATATTATTGTCTTTTTTTCTTGTGTGGCCTGCAGTATGACATTCGACAGAAGGCTTTGAAGCTCACGGCGAACAGTATGTACGGCTGCCTGGGATTTTCCTACAGCAGATTTTACGCCAAGCCACTGGCTGCTTTGGTGACATACAAAGGAAGGGAGGTAAATAGTGTAATAGCACGTCTCTAAAAATGAGAGTATTTTTTAAAATCTTCTTTTGATTTTCGGAGCATTTTTACCTATACAATAATGTGGGACAACCAGCTTGTTACCTAATTATACAAGTACCCCTTTTCAGGACAAATTTGAGAGAGATGGGCTTTTTAGATAAGGATACATTCATTAATTGTGTGTGTGTGTGTGTGTGTGTGTGTGTGTGTGTGTGTGTGTTTATTGAGTGTCTACTACGTGCCAGACATTGTTCTAGGCACTGGGGTAGAGTGTCGAGCAAGATATAAAAGATCCCAGTCCCTGCATCCTGAGGCTCACCTTCTACCAGGGCAGGGGGCGTACCAGTAAAGGGGCATGTGGTGGGGCCTTTGACGGGGAGAGGATATTTTGGGAAAACAGACTGTAAATAAGTGAATAAATAAACTAAAAAATGACCGAGAGACTGTGGGATAGAAGTAAATGCTGTGCAGATAATAAAACAAGGTGGCTGTGAAGATGGCTAGTTTAGATTGATCAGGGAAGGCTTCTTCAGGAGGTAACAAGAATGTGGCCTGAGTGACATAAGGGAGCTGGTTTTTTTTCCGGTGTGTTAGGTCAGAGTGTGGGGGAATGGAAGAAATCAAGGAGGATGCCTTCGTTTTTGTCTTCTAGCTGGTTAGCTAGTGGACCCGTTTCCTAAGATGGAGAAATCTAGGGAAGAGGGATTGAAAGTTCTGTCTTGGCTGTGTTACCTTTGAGACTTACAAAGATTTCTAGGAATATTAAGTAAGAAGCCAGTTGAATGTAGAATTCCACCATTCCAGGAAAATGTCAAGACTCACGTTATAGATTCAGAGTTACGTATTGGCTTTATTTTATTTTATGTTTTGAATTTATTGTGATGACTGGTTTGCAAAACCATACAGGCTTCAAGTGTACAACTTTATAAAACACGTGTACACTGTATGGTGCGCCCATAGCCTTAAGCAAAGTCTTTTTCTGTCCCCATTTCTCCACTCCTTGCCTATCGCCACCTAGCCCTCACCCCCCCTTTCCCTATGGTTATATACGTTTCTGTGTTTTTTATACACACACACACACACACACACACACACACACACATACACACATACACACACACACACATAAATGTTTGTTTTTTATGTTTTTTTTTTTTTTTTTTTTTTTGCTTAATCCTTTCACTTTTCATCCAGTCTTCTAACCCCCATCCCCTCTGGCAGAGAGTTATTGGCTTTAGAAAGATGGGCCACAAAACAAAGAGATTTGAGGTACTTTCACTTTGTAGAGACTATAAGCTCCATCTGGTTTAGCACTGAGAGAAGGGGTTTTTCTTTATTTGTAAAAGAATAGTTACATTAAATATTAATTCCTTTTAACTATGGTAAACCATTGATTCCAGTCAGTGGATTTAAGACTATCAGTCTTCAGAAGGTAGTTGGTGGCTATGGACAGAAGGCTTGTGTTGGGAGTCTGGACTCAGAATTCTCTAGAGAAGGGGTTGGCAAACCGTGGCCCATCGCCCAAATCCAGCTTGCCATCTAATTTTGTAAAATCTTACTGGATCACAGCCATGCTCATTCATTTATGTATTGTCTATGGCTGCTTTTGTGTTACATCAGCAGAGCTGAGTAGGCAAGATAGAGACTTGCAAGGCCCACAAAGCCTAAAATATTTACTTTCTGGCTCATTTTTTATTTTTATTTTTTTGTTACCTCACCTAAGGATATTATTTTCCATTGATTTTTAGAGAGAGTGGAAGGAAGGAAGGGAGGAGAGAAAGAGAGAGACACACAAAGAAACATTGATGTGAGAGAGCTGCATCGGTTGGTTGCCTCCCGCACTCACCCCTATCAAATCTCCAACTACCGTGTTTCCCCGAAAATAAGACATCCTCTGAAAATAAGACCTAGCACATGGAAAGATAAGACAGCCCCTGAAAATAAGACCTAGTGCAACTTTGGGAGAAAAAATTAATATATATAAAAAATTAATAATATAAGACACTGTCTTATTTTCGGGGAAACAGGGTAGGTACCTGTCCTTGACTATACCCTTGACTGGGAATTGAACCTGTGACCATTGCAGGCTGATAGTCTATCATATCCACTGAGCCCTTTGGTCCTTTTTCAGAAAAAAAAAAAAAAAAAAAAGCTTGCCTACGCTGCTTCTGAGTCCAGACCAGCACTGTTCAATAGAACTTGGAGATGACGAAAATATTCTCCATCTGCACTATGCAGTGCAATAGCTGCCATCCACAGTGGCTAGTGAGCAGTTACTTTTGGCTAGTGCCACCTAGCTGAAGAACTGGATTTTAAGCATTATTTAATTATAATTATAATAAATTTAACTTTAAATAGCCACATGTGCCAGTGGCTGTTATGATGGGTAGCACAGATCTAGATGGAATGAAACAAACAGGATGTTCAGGGCTGCTCTCCTGTTGACAGCCCTATCTCAGAGACTTGGCTTAGGGCCCAGGAAAGAAGGGCAAAACATGTATTGGACACCAGCAACATGTGAGTTTTCCTTTGCATTATTTCATTAAAACCCTCAAGAATCCACTGAATACAAATAATAATGTTTCCATTTTGCAGATGAGAAAGATCAACTCAAAGAGGTGCAGCCTAATAAGTAACTATTTTGAATCGGAATCTATATCTTCCTGACTGTAAGGCTTTTACATCATTAGGGTTGTCTGCCCCATCTCAGGGTGTCTTTCATAACTGTGCTTCTGCTTTATATTCTACCTCTTATTCCTGGAAGATCATCTTTTTTTTGTACTCATCTCAAGACACAGGCCTTTTTTACACGAGAAGAGGTGTGTTTTAGGGTCTAGTTGAAGTGAAGGAAGGATGTTTCCATTTTTTAGGCTAAGTTTTAAAATTATTTAAATTTTATTTCTGTGTAAGTATCCAGTGGCTTCTGATAGAATACAACCTTATTTTTGTATTAGGAAATGCACTCACTATGCCCCAACTGGGTGATAATACGTGGGTTGAGTATTGAGATTGGATCAAGGTTACTCTTAAGTTTCTCACAAGAGGCAATAGTTGACAATTTACTCCCTTGGAGAGTGCCTCGTGCTGATGGGAAATCCCTGTTGTTACATTTTCTGCATTGGATCAGAAATCCACAAGCTTAAAAGGGCACTGTTGATAATGATAAGCCCCAAATTTGTCCAGTGATCTACCCCGCTCCCTTAATCCACCGTACTTTAAGGGCAAAGTTTAAACTCAGTTTTTATTTTTCTGTTGTGTAAAATATAACAATAACAAATCTTAATAAACTATTAAAAAAACAACAACCCTGCTTTCCCCACTAAAAAAACACACACAAAGAATTTCAGACACATCTTGAAATAAGTATATGCGATTTAATTTCTTGGTTTCTACTTCCCCCTTTTTCCTTTGCTCCTTCCCACAAATAATAAAAACTGTTAATGAGGAATAATAGTGATATAGTTGCTCTCTGGACATTTTATTCTAGAAGAAGATTCAAAGCAATTTACAGAGATTATTTCCTAAAATAAAAAGGGTTGTTACAATGTTGGTGATAACTATTAGCACTGGCAGAATGAAATATTATAGGTGATAATCTGTCTTTGGGTTTACTAGCATTTTCTGTATATGCTATTAGGCCTTTGTGAGTTCAAGCATCTCTCCACTGTTAGAGAAGAAGTAGGGAGAGTGATATGTAAAATGAGAGTCCACTTGCTGAGATTTTGGAATACCTTGTAACTTTTTCAAACCTGTCTTTTTTATTAGAAGATGGAGGGACAAAATTAATATAGTAACTTGAAGAGCCTATAAATTGTTTCCTTTAAAATCTTGGTAGGATAAATTAGATTAAGGTTCAAGTAGAAATTAATGAGAGTGACTCCTGGTAGCACGTCCTTTGAAAAGATTATAAAATTTTTGCATTTGAATATGGATTAGCACACAGTTTGCGGAGGCCTTGAAATGTCACTCCCTTTTTATTTTTAATCTATTTTGTGTGTGCTCAGTTTTGTCAGAATCATGCAGCTTTGGCTCTGGTGACCTAATAATTTCTGTAATCAAATGTATTATGGCTGCTAGAGTATTAGGAGTAATTACTGATTGTACTCTTAAAAACAGGTTTATAATAAAAATGCTAACAGTTGTGTCAAATGGACATCAATATTGTCTTTTCCCAAGTGTGATATTTCACAATTGAACTCTACTATAATTTTTAATTGCTTGGTGGTGGTAAAGGATTTAGTTAATTGTTAAGGAATTGTATGAGGGACCTCACAGCATGCAAGTTATTTAACAAAGAAAGAAAGAAATGGAGGTTTCCATAGAAGTAATGAAGAAACTTAGTTTACAGACACTCAAAAGTTAATCTATGTAAATACCATCTGTATTTATGTGTATTCTCAATGTATGTATAGAGAGACAAAGAAAAATATTGGACAAGTTGATAGCACTAAGTGGATATATATTATATATATTTTATATATATATTATTTATTTATTTTTCTTTATTGATCATAACCAGTGGACACAGACAATAGGGGGACAATGGGCGGATAAGGACACATATGTAACACTTAATCAATGAAGTGGACATATATTTTAAACCTAGAAAACAACAGACTCAGTTGTCAGGTGACTGGTGTGGTAATTGGAGTGATTGTTCACTAGATGGCGATAGACACCCTGAGATCATTAATCAATTAAGGGCTTTATTCTGTGAACAATATAGTGGAGACCATTTAGTGTCACAAATCCGTCCAAATTTTCGACTTTTATTAATTTTGAAACTATTAATAAAGGTTGTCACTGGACCAGAGGATTGTGATCGTCTAATCTATTTAGTGTTTTAAAAAATGGTTTTTGAATCCTAAGCTTTATTGGTAAGAACAATTATTTAATGTATCATAGCAAGCTAATTTTTCTGTCATATAGCTAAATTTACACTTCTGGCCATGGGGCTACAATTACATGACTACTTTGGTCACAGTATCGGTG